GTTTTCCTTTGCTAGGAATTCTCTTTATTAATGAAACCACAGGACTAGTCCCTATTTCTATTTCAGCTATATAGTATTCAGTACTCCATAAAGGGATAGCCAAATATCTCAATGTAAGCAACAACTGGCCCCAGTTTTGCCCATCTCTATACTCAACAGAGCTCAGGCCATTATGAAGAAATTAAACGTACAATGCAAAAGCAGTGTTAGAATAACTGGTTGTCTTTGCCCCCTAGCTTTCCTTCTCCCTCCCCCTCTTCCCATCTGCCAATTAAAGACATCCACAGACTGAGTCCAGACTCAGGGCCCCACGGGAGAGACAAACCACACTCAGTCACTGGAAGACTTAACAGAACAAGTATTGGGTTTCTTTTTCCTGAAATGACAAGCAAGGGAGGGGACACTTGACCTGATTTTTCTTTTTTTCCTTTTCTTTTTCTTGTCTTTTTAAAACTTCTTTTACTGATTTGGCTAATAAAAATATTATGTACCTTGTGGTGTTTTGGCAGATGATGCCTTCTGAATACCTCATGCTACAATGAAGTGTTTTCAGTACGGATAATATTGCCTTATGGATCATGGAAGTAAATATATTTTTCCTCCCAAAACAAATTTTTTTTGCTCTGAAATTTTAAGTTTCCCAATTAGGAGTCTTGGATAAGCAGTTCTTAGCTACCTCAAGGGATTTGCAAAGTTCAAAGAGAAAGCTAATTGCTCCCCCTGGTGGCAAAAGTCCATGAAATGAAAACTCTTTGAAAAGTGGTACCTAAAGTTCCCTGTAACTTTCAATGTTTTCCCAGAAAGCCACACCCTACATGACTAAACAACTGGGGCCGAAGAGGACCTTACACAGATGCAATAGACTCACTGCACAACAGAACAACTGACTTTAACTCTGCCTCAAACTCCAAAGCCAGTGCCCCAGGCACTAAGTTACAACAGCATGCTTAGGATGTCACCTCTAGAAGGGATGTCCAAAATCTAAATAGAAAACGCCTTCCTTCCAGCTTCCTGTCACGCCTCCATACAACCTCTGCATCCCCCTAATAATGGCACCTACAGAGACCTTGCCCTGGAAGAGCTAAACCACTTCCCGCCTGGGGCCATGTTTTCTTGAGGCTCCCTCACATGGCCCCAAATGCCAGTCTGCGATTCTCTCCAGCCATCTTCTGGCCATACCACTGGGCATGTACCCTTTCCCCTTTTCTAGCTCTTATTCTGAGAACAATAATCAAATCAATACTACTACTGCTTCTGCAAAAGTGGTGTCAATCAACCGTCCTGTGGCTTCACTCATTAACCCAGTGACTTCCCAGAACAAAACACCACCCCCACTATGTGTTCTTATCCCCATTAGAAGGTAAGTTTTGGGAAGATGAGGTGGCCAACTGGATAGAGTGATGGGCCTGAAGTCAAGAAGACTCACCTTCGCAAGTTCAAATCAGGCCTCAGACACTTAGCAGTTGTGTGACTGTGGGCAAGTCACTTAATACTTTTGCTTCAGTTTCCTCATTTATAAAAATATGACCTGGAGAAGGAAATGGCAAACCATTCCAATATCTTTACCAAGAAAACCCCAAATGAGGAATAGAGTTGGACATGACTGAAAATGACACAAAAAATTTTTGAGGAGAGGGGTGGTCTCTTTACTACAGTTGAATAACTAGTGCTTCACACAGTTGCTGGCACATAAAATAAGCCTAGTAAATGCTTTTTTGTTTATTCATTTCTGTACTTAAAAAGCACACTTATTATAGGTGTTGAGAGTAATATATAGCTCTCCTTTAGATTCAGGACCTTTAAACTAATAGTCAATGAAAATAAAGCACACTTTTTCACCTTTAAATATTACAATGCTATGAATGTTCACAAAACACCCAACCAGCCAGAGAGGGTCTCAGAATCCACACACAGAATCCACAGAATCCATCTAGTATAGATGGCAGTTTTTGTGGCATTCTAGCCTTCTATTCTCTGAAAATAAAGGAATTAAGTTACAATTCCTATCATATCTTTTTTTTAATTTTTTTTTTTTGGCTTTTAGGCAATTGGGGTTAAGTGACTTGCCCAGGGTCACACAGCTAGTGTCAAGTGTTTGGTCTGAGGCCGCATTTGAACTCAGGTCCTCCTGACTTCAGGGCCGGTGCTCTATCCACTGCACCACCTAGCTGCCCCCCCCCATATCTTTCAAAGAAAATTACATTCTTAAATAGCTGTGAAGTTATTCCTCAGAAATCTGACCTGGAGAGGCACAGAATAGGAAGATGTCTCCACTAGGTGAGAGTCATTTAAAATCCCTAACCTGGAAGGATCAAATAAGGATGAAAGACAGTGACTGGTCTTCAGTCTCTACTAAGCAGGATTCTAGGCTACAATCACACAGAAACCACTACAACCAGGAACATATGGCCTGATTTCTTACAGTAAGACAGAAGAAGCCTCTTTGTTCTGGATTCCAGTTCACAGAATCCCAGAGCTAGATGAGACACAAGAGGTCATCTAGTCTAACCCAAACCTGAACAGAATTTCCCTCCCAAGGCTGCCCCATAACATTCCTCACTACATACAGGTTTTCATTAAAAACCTTTACTAAAGCATACCATTGCACATTTGTTCAATTTTATTTTGAAGTTTTTCCTTTTAAGAACCTTAAATCTGACTCTCTGTATCATCTACCTTTGGTTCCTCCTTTTTTGCTTCTGGGGAGTATTTTTCCTCATATGACAGCACTTCAGATAGCTGAAAACAGGTATCATGGCCCCCTATATGTTCTTTCAGTGTTGTCTGAGGATTAAGGAAATCTGTTCTGTATTTTTGAATTCTCACACTGAAATGATCGGTTCTAAAAAAGTGCTGTGTCAATAACCCTGGCATCTATGCATGACACTCATTCAAATGGAACGTTCTCAGAACTCAGAAACTCAAACAGCTGCAAAGAAACACAGCTTGATGTTTAGAAAGGTTGGCATGGGGACTGGGCAGCTGTCATGGAAATTATGAATCGAGAACCCAGATCCTATACTTGGCAAAAATAATAAGTAAGTTTCCTCGGTCCATGAAGAGATGGAGCCAGATGAACATACACAATTCTGAGGAAAGCAAACTTTAGAATGCATGGAGTTTAAAGGGGGCTAGTCCAGGGAGAAATGCTAAGTACACATAACGGGTACACATCCTCTCCTGCACAGCTGGAGAAACCCACAGTGGGCAGCTGACCCACAGTGTCATAATGGGGTATACAAATAGTGAGGCCTCTGACAACGCACAGCCAGACCACGTGAGTAGACCCGGAAGTGAAGGGAAACCAGAAGACTGATAGAGCTGGGAGGGGATGGGGTGAACTTTTTTGGGTCATTGTGCCCTTTGGCAATTTGGTGAAGTCTGTGGACCCCTTCTCAGAATGTTTGTTCCTACATTTATAACTGAAGGAAATGAGAAATTTCCGTTAGAAGTTAGTGAATAGAAAGATGTAATTTTCACCTCTATCCAAGTTCAAGGATCCACAGAAATCTATGGACTCCTAAGGGGAAACCTCAAGTTAAGAACCCTTGGAATTTGGGTGTGGAGCGCCTGCAGGGAGCTATGGGGGAGGGGGGAAACAGGGGACATGAGGGAGGGGAAAGAAGGCATGTCTACGGGGCAGGAAGCAGAAAAAAGGGAAAGGTGTCCGGGGCAGGATGGTAGAAGTACTTGGGAAAAGAGGGGGCAAAGACGGGAGGCGGGGCGGGAAGAACAAGAAGGGGAGTGTGTGCCGGGGGTGGAGGGGAAGAGGAGAGAAGCAGCTCCCTCAAGGTCGCTGCCAGCTGCACCCTTCCCTTCCCCCACCTCTCCCCTGGAACAACGTGGCGCTCAAGGAGAAGGGCCACGGAGAGCACGTGGAGCAGGGAGCTGGGGGCTCCTCCGCAGCTCTCGGGCCGGAGCTCCGCCAGGGGCAGGACGCCCCCTCTCGGGCGCCAGGCTCTAGGCGCGCCTGCCCGGAAGGAGCGCGCTCCTGCGTCCAAAGGCCTCCGCTCCGCGCGCTCCTGGCCTGGGCCCCCGCCCTCGTTACCTGGCCTCGCACTGCGCCTCGCTCTCCACCCCGTCTTCCCGCTCATCTAGTCCTGGGGGGGCTTCCTCCGTGGGAGGGGGTTGGGGGGCGGCGGCGGCCGAGAGGGCCAGCGCCAGTGCCGTCGCCATTGCGCCTCCAGATTTGTAAAGCGGCCGGAGCCGAGTGCCGGGCCGGAGCCGGGAGGAGGCGGACACAGACACAGACTAGGATAAGCGACGGCAGCGGTATGGAGAGAGAAGCGCTCCCACAAGGACTTCTGGGAGTTGTAGTTCTGCAGTCTTGTCTTGACTTTGGAGAGCAGGCATGGTGAGAACTACAAATCCCCTGGGGCTATATGGTGGAGCCTCCGGTGCATCCTGGGAGCTGTAGTCCTTGCTGGAGGCGACTAGCCCATGGATTGGGGATTTCCCCGTAGCGCTGACCTCAAGGACACGAGCGCAGGGCTGGGACCCCCGTATAATTCTTCGTGCACTTCATTGCTATTACTCTGTTGAGCTGTCCTTCCCAGAAGTTTTACTGATCCAGCCCGCTTTTACTGTCCTCTGATTTTCACTGAGCATTGTCTGGAGCTCTCCTTTAACTCCATCACACCTTGTCTTGTATTATAATTTATCTACTGGTCTTTTCATTGAGGCACTTTCCTATCACGCTCAGCCCCTGCTGCTACCAGAGTTCCTTGAAGACAGAAACTGTGCTATTTTTCATCTTTATAACCCCCTCCCTCACCAGTGCCTAGCACAACACTGTGCAAGTAGTAAGAGCTTTAATAAAAGTTAAATCGAAGTCATTGTCCAATCGAGATCCTTCCAAAGGAAGTTTAAGTTCTCTCCACCTGGAACTCTTCTTGGGCAAGTGACTTGACCGACTGCCTCTTGCCCCTCCCCGTCCCCCCTCTCCCCGCCTCCCATGACTCTCAGTCCTCTGAGGGCAGAGCTCTAGGTGAGCTAAGTGGAATGTGAATAGTTTCTACAGTGGTGACCAGGGAATGCTAGACCCGGTGAGAAGCAGCAGGAGCCCGGATTGCACAGATGATACTCCAGCATAGTTTCAACACCTCATTTCTCCAGGCTGGTCTTCGCCCACTCCCCTCACCCCCTTCCTGAAAGGAAAGTTAATACAGTGACAACTCTGGAACTTCCAAGTCCTTCCTCCACCGACCCTTTAACCACAGTAAATTCTGAGAAAAGTTCGTCCCAAGTAAGCCCAGTGGCTAAGGCTGGAGCTTAAGAATGAGCCCAGTGTGGAGTGAGAAGGGCTAGCGCCAAAAAAGGACTGCGGCTGTGATGGGATCCGAGGCGAATTTGCGGTGAAGGAGGGATACAGGTTAGGGGCTAGGCTCCTGTCAGTTTCGAGCAATTCTGCTCGAAAGCACACCATAGGCAGGAACCAATTCAGTCATGTACATGATAGCCTTCCTAAAATTCCCTTGGGTCACAATCAGGGTTCCGAGTAATGAATGAAAGACTGTACCTGAAGCAAAGGAGCCCTAGAAAAAGCGGTCTCTTTCGATACCAGCTCAAAAATCTGTGGTTTCACATTGACTACGGAATAAAATGATTCTGGCATTCAAAGCCTTTTACAATCCTGTTCCATCTTATTTTTGCAACTTGCCCTTCTTTACACATTATATACAGTATTCTAGCCAAACTGGACTTTCCCTCTCTTGCATATTCAATTTTCCTTTTCAAGGGCTCCCTTCTCAGCCAGCAAAACTTGCTCATATCTCCCCTCTTATCTCCCCCCAAAAAACATTCCCTTGACCCTGACAAGGTCATCCTTTCAAGCTATCATCTTCCTCTCCTTCATAGAGAAATTTTTAGTCTACATCCTTACCTCAACCCCTCGAAAACTAGTTTCTGTCCCCACCATTTTACAGAAATGACTCTCCCAAGGACCATTGCCATATTGCTTCAATCCTCCACCTTTTTTAGTCCTTGAACTTCCTATGGCATTTCATAATATGGACCTTTTATTCTTTCTGGAGATCCTCTATTTCTTTGGCTTGGTTGATTACACTCCCATGGTTCTGCTACTTCTCTGACTGCTTCTTGCCTCTTCTGCAGGTTCCTCATCCTCCCATCCCATAAACATCAGTATCCTCTAATGTTCTGTTCATAATTTTCTCTGTTCTGTCTAAACTCTACCTTGCTGATCTCATTTATCCCCAGGACTTTCACGTATGTCCTATGCAGATGACTCCTAAATCTATGTCTTCACCTCCAGCCTCTTCCCTGAGCTCCAGTCCCATGTTTCCAAGTTCCTGTAATACATGGCCACCGAAAAATACCATTACCTTAACTCAATAGATCCTAAACTGAACTTGAAGGCAGTATGGTGTAGAAAGAACCTAGGACTTAAGAGTCAGGAGAAACTTGGATTCAAACCCCACCTCTTGATATTTAATACCCATGGGAAAATTTATTTAACCTCTGTGGCTTGGTTAATTTATCTGTAAAACGGAAACAATAATACCTACCTGAAGTAGGTACTAACCCACTTCATAGAGTTGCCAGGATCAAATATAAGGCACTCTATAAATGGCAACTGTTATTTCTTATTACTACAATGTAAACTTTTTGAGAGCTGGGTCTGTGTCCAGTGTACCCTGGTACCCCTAGCACCTAGTGCACTGCATCACACAAGAAAAATACTTCATAAATGCTTGTTATATCACATTTGCATTGCATCTATGACAAAGTCTTCACCCACGCTTCTCTCGAAATTATGTTAAAGCCTTCCCTCATTTACCCATTATACATGATCCTTCTTTCCTTGCATCTCTTTAAAAACAAACTTTGTTTTATCTTAGGTGTGCACTTTATCATACTCTTAACTTGCATCAGAGTTATTTGTGTGTCTCCATTCATTCATTCATCCACTCAAGATACAGGAAGCCCCTTGTACCTCCAAAGAATGTGCCTTAAGGCACTGGTAGGAAATAGGGGAGAAAAGAAGAAAATGAAATTTACATAAGACTGGGTCCCTATACCCGAGGTTCTTAAGTACTAGAAAGGGGATAGGACCAGAACAGTAATTCTACTACATATAAACTGTGAAGGTACTAGAGTTGCAAAACAAAGCAATATGTGATATAGAAAGATTGCCACCAACGAGGGGAGTTAGAAGTAGGGGGGATCAGGGAAAGCTTCATCAACATCTAATGCCCCACAGTCCCTCACATTGTAAGGTCCTTGAGGGCAGGATTTGTCTATGACATTTTTGTTTCCCCAGTCATTCTGGGTCCTCAGAGGAATCCGAAGGTAAGATAAGTGTGGGGAACCATCCTAGAAGCTGCATTCGAACTCCTTCCCCCTCTCCTTTCCCAAGCTCACATCTCCAGAGGGGGCGCTTCAGACTCTGGAGCCATTCAGCCTTCCTCAGTCCTGGTTGGTCAAAAGGGTGTGTGTATGTTGGAACCCACTTCTGACCCTCCCCACACCTGAACAACAAACTCACTTGCACCCAAGTCATGAAAAAGAATCAATAAACATTTATCTGATACGGTCGTTTTCGTACATACAGGAATCAACTTCCAGCCCGGTCCTCGCTGGCCCCGGGCTTTACAGCATGTACCCTCCGGCTGGGGGGCCTTACCAACTTTCGCCCCGTGCTCGCCGGTGATTAAGGAGGGCACCGATCATCACGCTTGGGAGGGGCTCAGCCTCGGGTAGGTCGCCGTTAAAACGCCTCTCGCAAATAAACACTTTGTAGATATAATATATATGTATATATGTGGTTACAAGGGATAAATTGAAACTTTTTTTTTCCCCAAAATGCACTTATGTCTAAGAACGGGCATAAAAACCAAACGAAGCCCAAAGGGAGAGGACGCTCTGATGGGCTGGGGCAGGTGAGCAAGTCCAGGGGTTCTCTCCGGACCTGCTCCAACTGGTGAATCTGAATCGGCGGTGGTGGGGTGGGAGGAGAGGAGAAAGCAAGACCTCTTCTAAGTCCAGCCCTCCCAGTCCCAAAATGACTCCAGCAGCAAGGGTCAGAGGATATTTGGGGAGGGTGAGGAATCTGTGAAAGGGCAGATTTCAAGAGCCCTCTTGGGAAGGCTGAGGCAAATGCGTTGCCCCACCTCCACCGCCTCTGCACGTGCAAATAAAGTGCATCCTTTTCTTTTTTTACCTTGAAATTTTGCCCACCCCTCCTATTTACCCAAACTCTGCCCTCCCCCCCACCCCATCTCCCTTTTCCTGTGCAAGCGCTGGCCCTTCTCTCTGCATACACACACACCCATCCCCCTACCACTGAGGGCTGGATTTGGGTGCCCCAGCAAGGTCAGAGGTAGATCTGGAGAAGGTGGCCTTGAATATGTCAGTGGCAGCGAGACTGTGTGTGTGTGTTTTGGGGATAGGGACATCATGAGTCCGGAACTCGGTGCTGTGCTCCCCTTCTTGGGGGGGAGAGGGGAAGCAGGGGAAAATCACACATTGGGGGGGGGATTGGGTAGTTGGAGAACAGTGGCTACAGCACTCAAGCCCTCACCAGCCTGAAACTATTCCAGATGTGACCCAGACCTGCCCATCCTTACCAAAGCCAGTGGAACCCACACCCAATTTACCCAGGGGGGAGTAAAGTGCTAAAATCCAAGTTAATAGGGACCCGTCTTGCTCTGGAGTTCAACCCTCCACCCCAGGAATTCCTTGGTGAGGAGCAGTGACCACATGGTCTCCCAAAAGAATATTAGCTGAAAGACTGAGGACAGAGACCTACTCTTTCCCATACATGGCAACTACCTCTGCTACCTTCTCCACATACACCTCTGACACCAATAAACTTCTATTCCCAGGAGCCCCAGGATTGGGAGGAATTAGCTAAAAAGTAAGAGAAGACAACCTGAGAGTAGAAGAAATGGTGTGTGCATGGAATAATATAACATATACCATCTCTACTCTGCCACTAGCTTTCTTTCAGACTTGATCATCTAAGCAAAGTGACTCCTTCTGATACCTCAAAGAGCTCAGTGCTAGGTTGTTCCCCTTCACCTCCCCACCCCCTATTTTCTCTGTATTCCCTCAGCACTTGGCTTTTCTATCTTTTAATTATCAATTTCCTCTTGTTTGTATCTTTAAATCAATTCCCTGTGTTTTCCGTCAGATTGGGGACCTCCTGATGAAAGGGACCAGTGTCTCCCCTCTCATTCCAAGGTAAAGCAGAGGGAAGGGCCCAACTCCTCTAGGGTCAGTCCCTCCGATGCCCCTGGACTTAAAACCCTAGCCAAGACATGGAAAGCAATGACAGTGTCCCAACCCTAGATTCCCTACTCTCCTTTTATCCCTGCCCCCAGAGGATAGCATCAACCTCAGTCTTGGTCACATACTACTCAGAGGCAACTGGGTCAATTAAAGAATTAGAAGGCTCAGAGGGGAAATTATCTTTGTGAGGTGTATCCCTGAGCCCAGCCTCCCCATGAGGGTCTGTGGGCAGGAAACTACCCTATGTCCACCTCCCCCATGGACCTGTGCTGGGTGGACCCTGCCCTGAAGGCTCTTTTTGGGGGCTGGAGAGATGGCAGCCATGGCCTGAGTCACTAGATACTCAGACCCCTGGCTGAGTTTCAGTAGCTGGAGGGGGTAGGGGAAAGTGGTCCTGGACCTGCCACTGTGATCCAAATTCTCAACTTCTGAGGCTCAGGGAAGCACTGGCTCCCCCAGGGTACAGTCGGTACCAGGAAACCCTTAGCACCAAAGTGTCAAAGATTAGACAATTTATAGTATAAAAAGGATATAAAATCATTTGTTACTTGTGAAGACAACTGGCTTTCTCACAATATCTAGGAGACACACACCGGGCAAATATAAAAATTCACATCATGGACTGCAGCTCCTGTAAATGGGTCCTTGGGTATACCTGGGGGAGCAGAGATCCCTTGCCCAACCAACCCCTTACAGCAGCCCCTTCATGTCTTTAGCTACATCAAAGCCTCCCTCAACTTTAAGGGTCTTTCTTCTCTTTTGTGGGAGGAAGGGGGTAGGGCGTTAGAGGGAAGACCCAGTGATAAATTGGGTCATAATTATGTCTATTATCTGCATTAATGGAGGGGAGTGGTGGCACAGATAATCCATAACAGCAAATAATCTAAAAACAAATTGTGTTTGGGAAGGCAGTGTAAGCTTCTGTGTGTACTAGCCTGACTTCCCTTTTTTATTCTGTCTGTTCCTCACCTTAGGTGACCTTTCCTATGTAGACTCACACTGACTCCTAGGAGGAAAAGGGAGAAAAGCCAACCTTAACTTCTACAAATTGGCTAGGACACAGCTACCACTTCCTTGTGGGTCCCACCTTGCCTTGACCGGTCTCCATCATAAGCTTGTGGTGTAATGGAAAAAGTGCTGGGTTTGGGGTCAGAGCACCTTGGTTTAAAGGTCAGCTCTACCACTTTGGGGACCTTAGCTTTGTGGGGCCTCAGTTTCTTAAATGTAAAATGAGGGAGTGGACAAAATGACCTCTAAGGTTCCTTCCAGTTCTAAAGCTATAACACAATAAGTTTGGAACTCCTTCCAATTTCGCAAAGATCCACATTCGAAAAGATCCTGTGCTGCCTCCAGCCCTCAACCTAGTTCTTTTCCCCATTTAAATCTGGAGATAAAAGGCCCCAAATGAGATTGTGGGATGAGCCAGATGGCTGGGGGCTAAGGAAATGCTCAAAGGCAAGGTTACAGTGGATGCTAAGTGCTTACTGGGGAGGATATGTTGGGAACAATTCCTAAAGGAAAGCCTACCTCCCATTGCTTTCAAGAAATAAGAATGTATTAACCACCTCACTAGTGCTAGGCACTCTCATCTTGAGGACACTCACCCTCCACCACCCACAAAGTAAGTGCCACATACTATCTGATTCCAACCTAAGGAGTCTGAAACCTGTCCTTGAGGTCATTCTACAAGAGGGAGCAGATCAGGAGCTGTGGGCTCTTCCTATCATTAGCATCCCTGGATCTGTCATTACTTATTAATTCGACTTTCCAGTCTCTGAGGCAGCAACCAGGTTGGGCACCATGGTGCAGTGAGGGTGGAAAAAAGCTCTGTATATGGAGTCAGGTTTGGAGTCTGGCAAACGCACTTCATCTCTCTGGGCATTGGCTTCTCATCTGTTGAAATGAGGGAGCTGGACAAGATGATCTCAAAGCTTCCCTTACAGCTCTAAATCCTATGATACTATGACTGGAGAAAACTGGTTAATGGTCAAGTGCAGAGAAAGCAAGGGGCCCTTGCACAAATGGGCTATGTTCTCCTCTCACTATCACCACCAGTCATCTGTGTGACTGTCACACTCAGAACCTCATTCTTCCAAGAAAGGGGATGTGGAGCCCTGTACTACAGGGCACTAGCGCTAGCTTCTGGCAATCTTCCCTCAGCTCCACCAAGGGACTAGAGAAGACAACACTCAGAGAGTAAAGAATGATAGATGGGCAAATCTTCTAAGAGCTCAGCTCCCAAGGGAAGGGAATGACAGAAAGTGTTTTTAAGGGTGCCCATATCTGCCTCTCTATTCCACCTCAATATTAGCCAGCCCTTCAATTCTTAGTGTCACTACTATGCCCTCTGGTGGAGGGGAGTAGACAGACACAGAAGGGAGAAACAAGATAGGAAAAGGCATGAGGAGATACAAAGAGACTGCCTAGGATATAAGGGATCTATCCAGGAAAATGGCTAAAGAGGGTCCAGGCTTACAGTGCTAAGAGGAAGAGTAGCTATGTGACCTAGGCTGGGTCCTAGGCCTCTTCCCAAGAAACTACAAGCACCCCTTGACAGAAACACAATGCCATGAGGGCACAAAAGGAGAGCTCTGAGAACAGGACTAGCACCTGTCCTATTCAGAAGCTGAGAAATCAGAAATGTGAATGTAGGGCCAGTAGGTACAGGAAAGTCCAGACCCTATCATTCTTCAACTAAAGCTGAAATCTGTCCCCTCCCCCCAGCAGGGAGAGCTGAGAACCCAGGTGGCACTCCCTTTCCCTCCCCTATATAGCCCTGCCCATCCAGAACAAAGTTCTTTCCCTTCAGTTCCTTTTCCAAATACTGGTATCCCCAAAGTCAGTTTACCCTTGGGGATGTGGGAAGAGGAGGGAGGTTTTTTGGGCGCCTCCACCCAGAATCACTCTCAAACAATTTCCAAGCATTCAAAGTCTTGGCTCTGAGAGACCAGGTAGACATCGATCTCTCTCACTCCATCTCCCATACTCCCAATGCACAACAGCGTAAGAGAAAATCTTGCTGCTACCCCCTAAGGAAACCCCATCCCCACCCCTATTGCACTTTCTTCTCCCTTTGAACACCAACTGGTCCCCTCCGCAACCTGAGCACACTGCAACCCAGGTGTGTGTGTGTGTGTGTGTGTGTGTGTGTGTGTGTGTGTGTGTGTGTGTGTGTGTGTGTGTATTTACCTGTGCACACCAACTGGCCCCCTTCCCCAACCTGAGTACACTGTAACCCAGGCAAGCATGTGTATGACATGACTATGCATGTGGATGGACTGACAAAACCTTAGATGGGCTGCCACAGCCTCTCTCAGTTAAACAAGGCTAAGGAACAGGTCCCTGGGAGTGGTATTCTTCTTCCTTCCAAAGGAATGGCCAGGGAGATGAGGAGAAGGATAGGAAAGCCAAAGAACGAGGGATGGGAGATCGGAGCCAGCTCCCTCCTCCCCTCCCTTCTCCTCTCCCTGGCTTGTAAACTCAGTACCCAGTCAGTCTGAGAAGCAGCCTGGCCTCCCCAGCCCCCACCCTCTCCCCCAGCCCCAACCTCTGCTCACTTCTCAGGCACCTTACTGGCTCCCGATTTCCGGCTGGGCACCACTCGGTTCCCCTTGTCTCGACCACCCAAGGGCCAATCGTCCTGGGGCTTGGGGGAAGTCTTTGTGGGGGGGCCCTCAGAGGGCCGTTCCTTGGGTTTTCGGCCCCGTTTCTTTCCACTTGATGTGCTTTTCTTCTTCTCCTTGGCGGACAGCTGCTCCCTGCTCTTGGGTTTGGGTGAGGAGTCTGCTGAGGTTCTGAACCAGTTCTATGGAGAGAAGAAAGCACCCAGTGAAGCCTAGGGCATTCAGGAGAGATTATTCCCCATGTCCAGCATGGCTAAAAAGTCAGCTTTTCCTTATCTCTTGGCTTCCCAATTCTCACTCTAACTATATGACAGACTCCCTCCCCCCATCCCTCCCAGACTCAAACCCAGCCTTTCCTTCCACCCACTCCTGCCTCCACGGGGACCAGGCTGGGAACCCTTGTTGCTAAGATTGTTACAAAGGAGGTTTAGTTAACATTCCATGGTCCTCACCTCTGAATGTGTCTTGATGATGTGGTATTTAACACCACTTTCAGAGCTGAACTCCTTCTGGCACAGGAGGCACCGATACTTCCCCACCAAGTGGTCTCCCTGCAGTACACAGAGCTGGGTTCGTGATCCCCCAAGCCCTCCACCTTGTCCCTGTCTCACAACGCCTCAGAATATGCTGACAAGCAGTTCTGGAATCTTCAAACCCAAACAAAGGCAGGCAACACAAACATCCATTCTCCACTCCACCCCCAACACACATATACAAATATTCCTCTCCTCCCACAGGGGCTCAAGCAACAGAGAGGCTGCAGCCCCAGGGACAGTGAAGTACATATGCCTCAAGGGCCCCGTCTAGTGGGCCATTTCTCAGAGAAAAGACAGTAAGCCCCTTAATAATGAGCCATTGGGGAAGGATGTCCCACCTGTCTGGGTGAAGTGGGACACTGGGAATAGGCCTCAATCAGTATGAACCCAGAATGACACAATATACATGAGTCTGATTTCCCTGGGAGCCTTCTCAAGTAGGCCCACAGTAAGGAGGGTGTTGTGGTCTGGGAAAATGAGGTTTTTCGGGTCTAGTCTTAACAGGCTGTCTCTTTCTCAGTCACATCCCATGTTACTGCCTGTAACCCACTAATGGGTTTCCCAACTCTGAGTTTGGTCAGAGAAGCCCCACTCAGACCTGCCTGGGTAAAAAAGCCCTCCTCCCCATAAAATACCCAAACTATGCTGATAAGGGGAGTGAAGATGGAACTGGACCTAACAATGCATCTTGGCCTTAGAGCAGCCTCTCTCTCCAAAGACCACTGTCGAGTCTCTCCTCCCGCAATGACCAGACAGACCCTATTCTTGCAGTTTTCTAGTTGCATACTTCTCTGTCCTGTTATAGAAGTGGGTGGGGAGACTGTCACAGTTTTGGAGGTTGTGAGGTCCTGTTCTAAAGCCTTCCCTTGCTGCCCCTGCTTCCCTCTTAGAGCTCCCTCGGGTATCTCCAGGTAAGTTACATGGCCTTCCATTAAAATAGGCCAAATAAAAGGGACTACTGCTTTCAGCACTGATTGGCTCATCCAGTTCTTCTGTGACATCTCTTCAAGGCTCAGCAATAGACCCAAACAAAGGGGAAGACTTTCTACTACTCTGGATTAACAGAGAGGACATCCACTTCCTTCAGTTGTACAGATAACTGTAAAGGGATTATTCCCTCCATGTGAACCCCTCCTCTCTCATTGTGGCCCAGCAACTTCTACACAAGGAGAGGGTTTACCACTGCTAAAGCCCCTTTCCACAAACAGAATCCTGGGTGAGGGAACAGGAGACTGACCTTGGTACAGTTGGCCAGGTGGGCTTTCAGCCCAGACACACTCGAATAGATGGCTTCACAGCACTGAGAGGAAAACAGAGGGAGAGGAGAGTCATGGGATTCTGCTGCTTTGTTGTGTATAACACTCCCTCCCTTGGGAACTAGTATCACACTGCTCAGGTGATAAGGGGGGATAAGACCGGATAAGAGGAGCTGGCCTCTGAGCTTTCTTCTAATTCTAACATTCTAGGACTGTATGGGCCTAAGAAACAGGCCTGACTCCACAGAAGTACCCACAGGCACATGATCATTCCATATTGTCTCCCTCCCCATGAGAAAGAATTATAGCAGGAGTTTCCTGGATCTGCCTCCAAGGAAAAGAGCAAGGGGTTGAGGGTTGGGGTACAGAGCTGAACCCCTTCTGTGACCTCTTCTATATGGGCAGTCTGAGTGACTGCTCAATGCCCCCAGTACTCAAGGAAGCTAGATTGTGACTCATCTACTCCTAAAGCTTCAGGGGAGCTTCCTCACATCTCCTATGAGTTTGTCTTAAGTCAGGGCTGGGGATACAGGCAGGCCCTTCCCAGGGAAAGTCAAGTCTGGACTCTTTCTTCCCCTTCCCCAGCTTCCCCACCACCTCTTATCCTTACATTATTAGGGCAGTTGACATGTCCTCTCTCCTTCACTTCATTCTTCCATGTCTCCAGCAGCTGAGGATTCAGTGTTGGGAGTCCTGGCCGAGTGTAATTAAGCTGCCAAACAATGTGTGTGATGGACGACAGGGCAGCCTTCCCCACACACTGGTTCTCTTTGTAATGGGGGTAGGAGAGCACCAGGCAATCTGTGGCCTGTCCCCTCTCCTCCTCCCTCAAACCCCATTCTGTTCAATCATACAATACACTCCTAAGTTATCTACAAACCTGGAACTACCATAGGACAGAAAGAAGCCATGCAGGAGGGGATGGAAGGTATTCTGTACAACTATAGCCTGCACTCTAAAGGCCATTCCCACCTCCCCCAAGAAGAGTCTATACAGAACAGCTGTATAAACACTAAAAATAAACTGTGTAACTAATACTGGGGCCAGAGAGAGTTAGGTTAGATGCCAAGGAGGTGTGGCATAGATATGGCAATGGGTGCCCAAATGAGTTAGTGGGACAATTTGTCTGGAAACCCAGTCCTTTCAGAGATAGGAGTGGACATGACTTTTGAAGTCATGTCAGAACAGTCAAATGGTCACTGATCTTCAAGCAGGTAACTTCAAAGGGTAAATGACCAGCCCCAAATTACTTAGCACTTCCCTCCCCTAGGTGTCTCACCCTTTTGGTTTCAGGCACAAGGTCATCCTTCATCCGCCGCTTGGTCCAATCCCGAGCTAGCTCATCCTCTGCAATCTCCTGAAGGTGGAACACTGCCACCTGGGCAGACGTCCGACGGATCCGTCCACTTGGTGTCCGTTCCATGTCCATCTCAACATCCTGCTCAGGAGGTTTTCCCGCAGGCTCCTCAGGAGGCTATGCAAGAAAAGGTAGTAAGATAACATTTTGAGGAAGGTACTGCATTTCTGAGAGTTTATGTTTAGGGAAATGAACATATGGTTAGGGGGAAGAGGAGAAAGGGTGTCTTACCGGGGTAGGATGCTCTGAGCGGAGGTGGTAGTCATGGCCGGCCTTGGATTTATAGGTCTTACCACAGTGAGGACAGGTGAACACAGGACTGTCCAGGTCACATGGTTGCTTTCCACAGCGTCTCTGGTGGTACTGGTACCCCATGAGACTGGAGAAGGCAGCTGCACAGCCCTGTGGGTACAATATTCACTAAGAAACAGGAGATCCCATCCAGGGTTAGCCCCAGTCACTCGGAAGAGGGACCAGAGCCACAGAGTCCCACCAAGTGTCCTTTTTATCATGGGAAACAGAGACACATATAACGAACCCTTTTTAATGACAGGCATTGTCCACTGTCCCTTTCAAGCTGACCAGAACAAATTACTTGCCTGGAGACCCTCCCCAGACTGAGTGATCTCAAACACAAGGGGCACAGAGGATGAGCAGCATGACCTCTGGACACTGTGGTTGGGAATGGAAACTGACCTCATTGGGACACTTGAGTTTCCCCATCTGCTTCAGAACCTTCCTCAAACGCTCTCGTTCCTCTTGTTCATCCAACTCTGAAGGCTCCACATCTGTCAGGGGCTGGGGCTGGGGCCAGACAGGGTCAAAGCTAGAGTTAGCATCCTATAAAGGACTTTCCCCTTCACATATATACATACTTTTGCTATTACCCACCCTCACCCCCCCAACACACCACATATACATGCTTCTTCTTATTCCAACTCAAACATGTATACACTATGTCTCTGTCCTTGCACTACTTCCAGACCTCATTTCCTTCCAAGCAACACACACACACACACACACACCCCCAACCCACACACATATGCACAGGTCTGTCCTATGCATACACACTCTTCCACCATCCCTAGAATCACAGCCTCCTTCTTACTAGTAATCAACAAGCTTATCTAATGTAAATGCCAAGGAGGGGTAAGAAGATGATGATTCAACAGCCTGTCTTAGGCAGAGGGATGCAACTGGGGAGTGAGTTAATGGGTCAATGGGCTGAGAGGGCAATGTATCGATATAAAGGGAGGGATAAGGGCGGGGTGAGGGGGTACAGTCATACCTTGCTGCTGTGCTCCGCCATGGTATGGTAGTTGAGCCCTGCCTTTGACTTGAACTGTTTCTTGCAGTGCTGACACTTGAGCGCATCCTGCAGCTGGACAGCCCCCCACCCCCCACTCCCAGTCAGGCATGGGGGCAGGGGCTAAGAGGAGACAAAATCCACTCCCCCCTTCATTGTCTCCCTTCCTTCCTTCAAGTCCCAGACAGAATGGGCTCCAGGCAAACAAGAGGCAGCTATCTTGACTCCAGGACGCCTGGGTCCTGCTGCATCCTCAGCCCTGGGCCCCAGGGGCTAACCTCATCCTTACCTTCTGACAAACATCCATGTGCTTTTTGAGGCCTACAATGGTTTTCCTGGTGATGACTCCACAAGTGGGACAGACGACCTCACCCTTCTCATGGAGGATTCTTTGCCACTGCTCTTCAGGGCTCCCTGGAGGGCAAGAAGTAAGGGGTATAGGAAGCAAGGGATAACAGAGGGATCTGGACAGCAGAGGAAGACCACACATGGCACCAATCTTCACACTCCAGAAAGCCTGTACTCAAATAATGATATTTGAATATCATTACTGGTTTTCTGCTCAGAGGTAAATCTATGTCTTGCCCACCCACATCTGATTTCTCCTTAGAACCTGCCTGCCCAAAATCATTCTCCTTCCACATTTATAAGACCATGGGAACGCACTGCATTATGAAGCTATCTGGGCCTCTTTTTCTCTGTACCTCCAAGAGCCAGCACAGTTCTTGGGACTGTCCTGGGACCCTTAACCCCTCCCTGGCCTTTTCCCCAAGCCATCAGAGAAGATGGTGCGGTAAGCAGCATCGAAAGCTGGATTTAGTGCCAGGAAAAGCTGTGTTTGAATCCTATCATAGACATTGTGTTACCCAGGGCAAGTCACTTAACCTCTCTGACCTTCAGTTCCTTAAAATGGGGACAATCCCAGGCTCATTGTGGGGATCAAATTTTTGTCAAGTGCTTTGAAAATCTTAATAAAAATGTGAGCTATCATTATTATTAGGACAACAATCAGCCCATTCTTTGGCATTACTCTTTCCTAAGCTGGGGGAATTCCTTCCACCCACTCACCTGTGCTCAGGTGAGCTGTGGCTATAGGTACCACTTCTTTCTTCACATTAGCTGCCAAGACCTTTTTCCTCCCCTCCTCAGCGCTGCTGCTGGCTTCCAACTTCTTGGCACGGTGGGCCTTGGCCTTGTCCTCTGCCTTGGCAAGGCCTGGGAGGGATAAGGATGTCACTAACAAACCCACTATAATATCTAGCGCCCCAATACCAAGTCCCTTTTGGATGCACCAATATCTACAGTCATACCTCCAGGCCCTACCACAGGCTTTAGGGAGATACTAAGGGTTTCTCAGGAAAACACAGAGCCCCATAGATATCCCCTCCAGGCTGGTTTCCCAAGAATAGTCAGCAAATAGGGTAGCCAGCCTACCTGATTCCTCTACTATGCTAATCCAAATGACTTCCCCTTTGATATCTCTGGGGTCCTTTCAGCACTGAGCCTCAGAGACTTTCCCAGAACTCTAACCCAGGAGCCTCACACTCAAAGGACATTTTGACATTATATATATGTGGATAAATATAAACTAAGCTACAAGAACACCTGACACAAAATCTGACCTTACTAAGCAGCTATATTAAAGGAAAACAAATCATTTTACAAAAAAAAGTCTTTGATCAAAGGATTAAAAGTTGAAAGAGACCATAAAAATCACCCAGTTCAACCTCCTCATTTGACAGATGAAGTATCTTCTGACAGCATTCTATTTTCCACCTCCTAACTTACCATATAATGTTGAATATTATGGTTACGTGTGCAAAACCAAATGATCCATATGCTAACTAGGCAGCAAGCTCCATAGACTGTCTTAGCTCAGTTTTGCATCTCCCCCAGAATGTAACACATAGCAGTTCTACACATAGCAGGAGGTTTGAGTTATTGTTTGTAAGGCTAAGGGGGGGGGGGTGTGTATACACATATATCTCCATAGGATACAACTCATACCCATGACAGTAGAAATTAGACCATGTATTAATTAGAATTAATTTGTCCCCAGGAGATAAATGGTCAAAAGAATAGAAGTTTTGAAAAGAAGAATTACAAACTCTTGACAACCATATGAGTGACTGGTACAAATCACTCCTAACAAAGAAATGCAAATTAAACTTCTGAAGTTTCATTTTGGGTACATTAAATTGGTAAGGATGATAATAAAATAGTCGTTGATGGAGGGGCTACCAGAAAGGAAGACAGGCACACCAACATATTGTTGTTGGAGCTATAATGGTCTGGTTTCCATTCTGAAAAACAATTTGGAATCATGGAAGAAGAGTCACTAAAATGTTTATACCTTTTAACCTAGTAATTCCACTGCCAAGCATAGGTTCCAAGGAGGTCAAAGACAGAAAGATCCCACATACACCAAATATATATATATATATATATATATATACATACATACATACATACATATATATATATATATATATATATATATATATATATATATACATACATACATACATACATATATATATGTGTATATGTGTGTGTGTGTGTGTATAGCATTATGCCTCTTCTCTCTCTCTCTCTCTCTCTCTCTCTCTCTGTATATATAGCATTATGCCTCTTCTCCCCTTCATAGCCAAATGCCTAGAAAAACATCTCTCTTCATTGCCTCTATCTCTTCTTTTCTCGATTACTTTTTAACTCTCTGCAACCTAGTAGTCATCCCCTACCCTTCACTCTCATTCATCTGATACATTCAGTCAGCTGCCAGGCCTTGTCAATCCTCCTTCCACGTTAGCTTTAGTATCTGTTCCCTTCTCTCTATTCACACTACAACCACATGAATCCAGATCGCACCGCCTCTCATCTGAACCATTTGCAGTAGCCTTCTAAATGACTTCCCTGAATCCTACCTTCCCACTTTCAAATTCACACCACTGCCAAAGTGATATTCCTAGAACACAAGTCTGACCATGTCTTTCTTCCCCTCCTTGATGCCCTAACGCTGTCAACAAACTTTGGCACCTTCCTATTACCTGAGGATAAAATGCAAACTTCTTTGACATTTAAAGTCTTTCACAATTTGACTCCAACTTCCCTTTTCAGGCTTATTGCATATTACTTTGTTTCATATACTCCATATTTTAGAGAAACTAGCTTTTATGGTACCCATCCATAAGCCATGTCTCACCTCTCTGGGTCCTTGCATCATCCAGGCCTGGAATGCACTTTACTTTCTACGTCACAGAATCCCTGGTTCCCTTTAAGACTCAAGTACCCCCTCCTACATGAGGACTAACCTGATCTTCACAGTTGCTAGTACCTTCCCACATCCCCCAGATGTTACTTTGTATATATTTTGTTCTGACTATCCATGTTGTTTCCTCTAATAAAATGTAAGCTCCTTAAGGGCAGGGTTTGTGTTATTATTTTTTTTAGCCCTACTCTCTAGCATATAGTAAGCACATAATAAGTGCTTGTTGAATACATGAATGAATAGTAGCATTTTTGTGATAGCAAAAAATAAACACAGATCGATGCATGCTATTTGTTCTTTTCTTCTGTTTTGTTTCTTCTTTCTTGTGGTTCTTCCTATTGGTTCTAGTTTTCCTTTACAACATGACTAATGTGAAAATATGTTTAGTAGGAATGTATATGTAGAGCCTATATCAGATTGCATGCCATCTTGGGGAGGGAAGCAGGGAGGGAGAGGAAGAAAATTTTAAACTCAAAAGCGTGTGGAAGTGAATGTTGAAAACTAAAAATAAATTAATTTAAAAAATAAAATAAAAAAATAAAAAACAAAGTGGGTGCCTATTAATTGCAGAATTGCTAAACAAATTGTGGTATATGAATATGATAGAATATTATTGTGCTATAAAGATCAACATCAAGATATTTAGAGCAGCACTTTTTGTAGTACCAAAGAACAGGAACACAATAAATGCACATCCACCGAGCAATGGATAGATAAACCTTCTTACGCGAATGTAATGGAATATTACTGTGTTATAAGAAATTGTAAATACAGAGAAACATTAGAAGTCTTACTTGGACTGATACAAAGTAAGGTAAACAGAACCAGGGAAATTATACACATAATTACTGGAATAATGTAATAAAAAGATCCAAAAAAACCAAAAACCAAGTTAAAACACTGTACTTATAATGATCAAGCTTAGCTCTAAAGAAGAGGTGAAATAATCAACCTATTACTCTTCTTGGCAGAGGTGAAGGACTATGGTGCATAACACCATATATTTTGTTAGATTCAGTTGATGTTCCAATAGTTTTGCTGAGCTACTTTTTTTTCTCTTGGAAAAACATATTTGGAAATAAAGGTGATACAAAAATAAGGTTTCTTTTAAAAAGTGAAATGGGCAATTCAGCAAAACATGTAATGTAGACAGAGTAAAGAACCAGGGCCACAATATACACAATGATTACCCTAATATACAGGGGGAAAAAAAACACAAAGAAGGCAACTGCATTCTAATTAGCTGTAATGACTAATCCTTGTTCTGGGGGGCTACAGGTACAACATACTGAATACACTGTCAGACAAGGTCACAGTGTATATTAGTGTTACCTAATTGTTTTCTTTGTCACAAGGCAGATAGTAGAGGAAGGGGATGAAAAGCAAAGGGGGAAAGGAATATGTCTGAAAGCAAATGATGTAAAAACAAAAGGCATTAATAAAACTATATAAAATTTGGTCTTCTGTTAATCAGAACAAAGCTGCCCATTTGCTATTTAGAGTGTTGCTGGCAGTTCTGGAACAGTCATTAGCAGGTTTGGGTCAGAACCTAATTCTCAAGACAAATGAAAATCACCGACTCTGAAGACTCCTAGAAATCCAACTCAAGTATGTTGTTACTTGCTTCAGAGCTAATGAACCTAAGGCAGGCAGGAGAGCTCAGCTCAAACAAACAAAAAAAACCCTCCTAGAATATCTCTGGAATTTATCCAATCTGAGTCTCACTGCCACTATCACAGTATAAACTTGGATTATGATCACCTCGGATTATCACAGCCTCCTAAAAGGTCGCTTCTATTCTCTTCCCCTCTATTTTGTCTTTCATTCTGTGGACAGACTGATTATGCATGTAAGCAAACCTTGACATGTTATCTCTTTGCCCCAAAATCTTCAACTACACTTTTTTTTTTTGATGGTGAAGCTTGGTGCAGTAGAAAGAGCAGTGAATTTGATGTCAAACAACCTGTGCTCACATCCTGACTCTACAGTGCTTACTGTCTATATGACTTTGGGCAAATTAACTCTCTGGGCCCCAGTTTCCTGAATTGTAAAAACGAGAGGGTTGAACTAGATTAATTCTGAAGTTCCATGTGACTCTGAATCTTTTTATGATCCCACCGCATACTGAATAAATCAAACTCCTTGGTCTGGCATTTAAGGCTATCTGCAATCTAGCACCAGCCCACCTTTCCAGTTTTCTCTAACGTGACTTTGTCCTCAATAAGCTACACTTCAGCCAAAACAGCCTATTCTCTATTGCCCAACCACACTCTGCAATCTCCCACCTCAATGCCTTGGTCTGAGATCTTCCCTATGTTTGCAACATCCTTCCTTTGCCTCGTAGCCTGATGCATTACCAACCAGGCTTTAATGCCCAACTCAAATGCCACCTCCCCTCTACGAGGCCTTCTTTGAATCTCCTGATCAATAATGACTTTCTCTCTTGGAGCTATCTCAGAGAACAATTTGTTTCATGTCTTTCTAATATGTTCACCAGTGTTTGTGACATCCCTTTACTAGACTGGACAGTGCTTTGCCCTCAGTATGACTTTAATAAATGTTTGTTTAATTATTCATAAAAATCTAAATGGGACTTTGAAGGTGCTAGTTATTTTCCTAGAGTATTGGGTTATACACACTTGGGTGAGTGGGTATTTACAGCTATATGAGAATAATTGGGGACAGGATTACAGCAATGGATATATCTGACAAGTATCATAATGGGGCCAGGAAGGTACAAAGGTACTGTGCTCCTGGCATAACCTAAATCAGGAATTCTGGCACCCGAGTCAAAATCAGTCAAGGAGGAAACTGGGGTGAGGTAAGGAAGGTGTAAGGTATGGTCACTCAGTCAGAGACCTAGTGCATTTGAAGTGAGGACTAGTGAAGAACTAGAAGGCCAGGGTATTCAAAAGAGGAAGAAGTTAGAGTGCCAAGTTGGAGTAAGCAAGGTTCTGAATTCAGAAGAAGGAATAAACCAGAGTTCCATAAATGACAACAACAAGAATCTAGATAGGATTGTGAGACCATAAATTCAGAGTTAGAAGAGACCTTAAGGGCCAATTTATCCATCTGTCTCATTTAACAGATAGGGAAACTGAGGCCCAAAGAGGTAAATGACTTGTCCAAGATCACATAGGTTATAAGTGATGCAGTGGGAAAAGCACCTAATTTTGAGTCAGAGGATCCAGGTGCAAATTCTGCCTCTGACACTTGGGTAACCTTGGGCTTTTGTTTCCTAATCTGTAAAATAAAGGAGTTGAGTTAGATGGTCTTTACTATCCCTTTTAGCTCTAAGTTTATAATTCTATGATCCCAAAAGACAGAAGTCAAAATGATCCACAGTCTCAAGACTCCAATTCCAATGTTCTTTCCCTTATACCATGCTGCCTTTCTATTGACTAAACTTACTATCACTCTACAACCTTTTCCCCTAAGCCCTATGCTTCCCTCCTCTCCTCAGTTTTATATTTCCCATCGCTGATAGAGACACAGACTTAGCCTCTCCCTCATTTTCCATCACTCTTACAATGGTATCACACATTGCCTTGGATAGTCAATTATGCAGCAAAGGGAATGGGTTGCTGAGAGACACTGTGGATGTTCTTTCCCTGGAGACCTTTAAAACTAAGAGAAATACCATTCTGAATGGGACTGTTTAAATTGGGCCCTACTTGGAGGCCAAGGGAATTAAGGAATTCTAAAGGTCCTGTACTCCCAGGGACTCCATAATCTGTAAACAGGTATCCCTTCTGATCATTGCTGGGCATAGATGTATTTCCAATGTGGCAGAGCCTTGCACTCTTGTTGGCAAAGCTTCCACAAGCACGAGACCAATCCACATGAAAATATGGCATCAAAGTAAGCTAAGTTTGAAGCCATTCATCACCAGGCAAGCCACAAAGTGATGAATTTTTTCGATCATAACTTTCAAAAGACCATCTTGGAAGTTGTGGAGATAGTGTAATAGGTTGGTTCCAGGAGTACTCTCATCAATGAAAACACAGATCCATGAAGTACTAAACTAAACTGAACTTCTTAGAAATCCAATCATCATTTCATCATTACTCATATTCTTCACAGTCATAGATGTAATTTCCTGTTCCTGTATTTCCCACTCACCTCCTCCCAACAAACTCTTCCATCCAGTGACCCTGGCCTCCTTGTTGTCCCTCACACATATGACATTCCTTCTCCTGATTCCAGGCAGTTTAACTGGCTCTCCCCCATGCCTGGAACGCTCTCTCTCCTCATCTCTGCCTCCTGGCTTCCCTCCTTCTTAACCTCAATGCCTTCTCTCTAAGCCTACTCTCAATCCATCCTGTATATATCTTGTTTTCATGTAGTTGTTTGCATGTCGTCTCTCCTCCATGAGACTGTGAACTCCTTGTGAGCAAGGACTGTTTATTCTTTGCCTATCTTTGTATCCCCAGTGCTTAACATGTGCCAATAGATGCTTAATAAATGCTAGCTGACTAAATGACCATCTTCTAAAGCCTCAGTAATGGAAATAATAATATAGAGTTAGAACAAAGGAGACTCTGACTAACTCTAACCCTGAATCAGGAGAATGCATTCCTCTGTTAACAAGAGCATTTTCTGATGGTTTGTACAACAGACACAGTGAAGAATCATTTCTATTCTTGGCTCTATCACATTGAGCAGTTAGGGCTAGTCCAGAGGTGGGGAACCTGCAGCCTTGAGGCCACATGTGGCTCTTGGTCCTCAAGTGCCACCCTTTGATTGAATACAAACTTCACTTCTGGCCACACTTGAGGATCTAGAGGGCCACATGTGGCCTTAAAGCCACAGGTTCCCCATCCCTGGTAATCACTTCTCTGTCAAATTCCATTTCTTTCCGGGTAAAAATAAGATGAGATCTTTATTTCAGACTCTTCAACAAACATAGGTATACTGTGCAATCTGCCTATAACACATTCCACTTTTATTCACCGAAAAAAAAAAAACATTCATTGAAAGTCCACTATGTGTGAGGCCCTGTTCCCTTATAATTGAGCAGGGAAATGACAGGCATGAAAACAACCAAAGGACAAGGAGTTTATGATAAGCAACACACAAGGGTATTAATCTGAGATGAGTTAAGGTGCTAGGATCAGGACTAGAGCTCAGGTCTCTTGAGTCTAAGACCAAAGAGGGGAAGTTAGGTAGCACAGTGGATAGAGCACCAGCCCTGAAGTCAGGAGGACCTGAGTTCAAATCCGGTCTCAGATCAAACACTTGACACTTACTAGCTGTGTGACCCTAGGCAAGTCACTTAACCCCCATTGCCTAAAAAAAAAGAAAAAAGAAAAAAAGAAAAAAAAAACTAAGACCAAAGGCCTAACTTGCTGTGGAGTATCAGGCAAATTAAGACACCACTAACAGGCTTCAGTGCCCTCATCTCTCAGAAGACTGGATCATACCAGATCATGTCAAAGGTTCATCTATAACTGTGGTTTTCAAAAGGTGCGCCACAAATTAACCTTGCATATATATGCATGAGTCTCCCAACTCTTCCCATTGTGTTGCCACCTTTCACACTTGGTATACACTGACTGGGTGTCACTGGAGGGTAGGGCACATTAACCTCGCATTTATAGTGCACTTCATTGGCATGGCTGGGGGCGGGGTTGACATCATGAAGTCTGGTCTTCCCATCCATCCCCTCCCCCTCATCTTGGTGATTCTCTCCCTTACCCTTGCTGTTGTCCTTTGCCCTCTTGCTATGACATAAGACCTGCATTATGTGTAAAGAATGGTGCTGGTTCTAGGGCTATATCCCAAAGAGATCCTACAAATGGGAAAAGGACCCACATATACAAAAATATTCATAGCAGCTCTTTTTGTGGTGTCAAAGAATTGGAAATTGAGAGGATGCCCATCGATTGGGGAATGGCGGAACAAGTTGTAGTATACAAATATAATGGAATACTATTGTGCTATAAGAAATGATGAGCAGGCAGACCTCAGAAAAACCTGGAAAGACTTATATGGTCTGATGCTGAGTGAAATAAGCAGAACCAGGAGAAGGTTGTACACGGTAACAGCCACATTGTGCGATGACTAATGCTGATAGACTTAGCCCTTCTCAGCAATACAAGGATCTAAGACATCTCCAAAGGCCTCATGATGGAAAATGCTATCCACATCCAAAGAAAGAACTATGGAGTCTGAATGCAGACTGAAGCATACTATGTTATTTTTTTTTCTTCTGTTGTGTTTTGTTTCCTCTTTTTGGTGGTTCCTCCTATTGGTTCTAATTTTTACTTACAACATCACAACATCACTAATGTGAAAATATGTTTGATAGGAACGTATACGTAGAGCCTATATCAGATTGCATGCCATCTTGGGGATGGAGGTGGGGAGAGAGAGAGGGAGAAAAATTTAAAACTCAAAAGCTTATGGAAGTGATTGTTGATCATTCAAAATAAATTAATTTAAAAAAAAAAGAATGGTGCTGGGCCTTGGAGAAGAGTCCTTACCTTTAAGACCAAAGGTCCCTGAGATCGATGGCTGCTCCCCAGTGAACTTTTTAGGCGTTTTTTGTTTCCTTCCTGACTCAAGGGAGAGAAAACAAGAAGACCAAATCTGGTCAAATAACCATAGAGAAAAGGGTTAACCTCTAGTGCCACCCCTCATCTAACCTGTCTAGGGACCTCTCCGCACCCCAAGGACCACTCCTACCCAGCTATATCAATGCCAGGAATGGTACAAAGGAGACTCCAGCCCTACCACCCCCACTGCAAAGGGGGATGTAGAGACAGATGCAGGTATGAGGATTCTAAGGTGTTCCCCCTTGCTCATCCTGGGCTCTAATCTTACTGTGCTTGGAACGCTCAGGGTCCTCTTCTGGGGGTGATACTGGGCCCGTGGCCTCTTTGCTGCTTGTAGCCTTGGTAGTAGGTGAAGCAACGGCCTCTGCTGCAGTCATATGGAAGTCTTTACTCTCACATGTGTCTAGGGCACACTCTCCATTCTCCGGGTGCAGATCCCCTTCTTTCTCCAACTTTGCCTGTTTTGGATGGACGGGGCAGGTGTCCAAGCCCTCAGCAGCCCTGGAAGTCATATACACAGTGACCTGGGGGAGTGGGCCTGGAGCCTTAAAGCAGCTATTCCTCTTATCCATCCCAACCTGTAGCTCAGTGTGGCCTCTCTCCCCATCCAAAGCAGGACTCTAACCCAGCTGAGTGACTGGGAGAGACAGATACCAGACATATCCCTCCTGGTCCATATGTACCTCTTCTTACCACCGCTCCTTCCCACAGTTCTTTGCACTTTGCTTTCCGGCTTGTTCAACGGCAACACTTTGCTGGGTGATGCTGATTTGCTGATTGGAATAGGCTTGCTGACAAGGACAGGTTTGCTGGGTGGGAAGGGCTTGTTGATTTGGATGGACTTACTGGGTGGGAAGGGCTTGCTGGGCAGGATAGGTTTGCTTACTGGCACCGGCTTGCTAGGCAGGACAGATTTGCTCACAGCGACCAACTTAGTGACTGGGACTGGCTTGGTGACTGGGACAGGCTTGGTGACTGGGACAGGTTTGCTGACTGGGGCCACCTTGGTGACTGGGACTGGTTTGCTGACCGGTACAGGTTTGCTGATCGGGACAGGTTTGCTGACCGGGACAGGTCTGCTGACGGGGACAGGTCTGCTGACCGGGACCAGCTTGCTGACCGGGACCGACTTGGTGACCGGGACCGACTTGGTGACCGGGACCGACTTGGTGACCGGGACCGGCTTGCTGACCGGCACCGGCTTGCTGACCGGCACCGGCTTGCTGACCGGCACCGGCTTGCTGACCGGCACCGGCTTGCTGACCGGCACCGGCTTGCTGACCGGAACTGGCTTGCTGACCGGGACTGGTTTAGTGATGGGGACCGGTTTGCTGACCGGGACTGGCTTAGTGACTGGGATTGGCTTGTTGGTCTGTACTGGCTTCCCAGGAGGTGCAGCTTTAGGCAGGGGGAAAGGCCTGCTGGCTGGGACAGGCTGGTCCATGTGATTCCACAATCTGTGCTTCTCTAGCTGAGTCTTGGAGGTGAAGGCAGCTTCACAGTAGGGGCATGGGTATGTCAGCTTCTCAGAGATGGCACCCTGAAAAAGAAGAAGCGGACTGAGCCACATGTGCCCAGGGATGATGGGACCATAGAAACAGTGCAGGGCCTGTAGGGGATGCTCTCACTGGGGGCAATGCAGCACCCAGGTTCCTTATCCCCAAATCCTGAGTAGCACAAGGGAGGTGGAGAAACACAAAGAAAGTCCCATTCTTTGACCTTTCCTTTCTGCTCCCAACTACTTACCCCCAACCTCAAGGTAGAAGCAAAAGAAAAAAGTGTTATGGCTCTTTTTTGTTCCCCCAGAAAACGAACAAAGCAATCAGACATGTGGGCAAAGAAGAACAATAAAAGCAGCACGGGCTGAACTTGAAAAGGTAGAAAAAGAAAGCATGCAGGATAACTGATACCCCTTTATTATCATTCATCTCCCATACAGCTCAACATAGAGCCCTTCACAGCAGACACATTGGTCACATGTTACACATGTGTTTAATATAATATACACATAGCCACAGATGCAAATGCTATATACTATCCTTTTCTATGGCACCAGAGGCAAAAATGCCACCCTGACTACATTCAGTCATTCAATGAATATTATTTAACACCTAATGTGTGCAGGGTCTTATGCAAGGCACTAAGAGAGACACAGAAAAGAACAAGACATAGTCCCTGCCTTCAGTCTAGTAGAAGAGCTAAGATATGGACACACAACTAGAAGACAAGGCAAGATGTCAATGTGCTACAAGAGAGTGAGGCAGGGATTGAGAGGATGAAGGGACCAAGTCTGGCTGGGGGGATCTGGAAAGACTTCCTGGAGGGGTGGCCTTGAAGAAGAAGCACAATTAGACAGATGCTGACAGTCAGGGAGGAACACTGAGAGTAAAGGCATAAGGGTAAGAAAATAGGAGCTTTGAGTTCTCATGTAAAGGTTGAAAAAGGTAAGAAAGAAAGAGGCAGGATATTTGGTTGTGGGGATAGGGGGATAGCTAAGAAACATCAGCAAACTTCTCCAAAGTACTTCAAGATTCCTGAGGGGCTGGAGAGAGGGAAAGAAAGAGGAAGAGATTGCTCCTGCATCTAAGTGGGAGAGACTAATAGCTGGCAAAGACAACATGGCCAGAAAGCTCCTTAGGTACTATAACTTGGACAAAGGTGCAAGAATGACTCAAAAATACTGCTATCTTAACCTGGAACCACTCATTCTGGTAGCTAAATAAGGAAGGAGTAAGAGAAGAAAGAGGTGGGGCAGCTAGGTGGCGCAGTGGATAGAGTCAGGAGGACCTGAGTTCAAATCCAGCCTCAGACCAAACACTTAACACTCACTAGTTGTGTGACCCTGGGCAAGTCACTTAACCTCAACTGCCTAAAAATGAACACAATTTTAAAAAAGAGAGAGGGAAGAGGGCATCCCCTTCTGGATTCCCGAGGAGGATCAGCAGAAGCAATCCCAGAAGCCAGGCACAGGGACAGGGGAGGAAAGAGAAGGAAAAGCAACTGCAGGGATTCTGCGGGAAGATGAACAAAAGTAATCCCAGAACTGAGGCATGGGAATAGGAGAGGAAAGAGAATGAGAAGCATTATTAGGACAATCCACAAACAGAGCCCACTAAATACAGGGGTTGTCCCTTGAGGTAAAATCATATACTACTGAGAATCATGTCCCCTATGCCTGGTCATTACATACAGATTTCTGACCTTCAAAAAGATGTTCATACAGTAACACTCAAGATGTGTGAAGAAACACAGAAGTGTTCTGAAACATGCCAGCATGCAAAATAGATATACTTTGATTTGTACAATCTCCCCCCCAAAACAAACAAACAAACAAACAACACCCAGAACCTTTCAGACAGACAGTAGGCCTATGTATTTTTATGCTCCCATGAGTGTAATACTTCATAAATTTAGACCTGAGGTTTTAAGTCCAAAGTCCTTATCACTGAAGTCTCCCTGCTCCATCCTTCATCCCTCATCTCCACTAGTTTCTCTTTATTCTTCCCAAATCCTAAACTCCATTTGCATTGAGAAGACTTACAATATACCTTTTAGCAGGCCCCACTACCCAGCCAAAGGTCTTACCCCCTGGCAACGCTGATAATGGTACTTGAGTCCATAAATACTTGGGAATTCCAGCCAGCATCCTGAATTTGGACACTTCACCCGAGAGTGGGCCTTGAACTCATCCTTCCATTGGTTCATCAAGGACAGCTGTGGTAGAAAAGAGATGGAAATATCCAGGAGTTTATATTGTGTTTTATCTAAACTTTGCCCCAAGCATAGTGCATCAATTTGCACACAGCAAACATTTAATCAATGTCTGCTGAAAAATATTGAGTCCAGGTGAGCTTCCACTCTCCCATTTGATAACAGAGACATCAGTTATCTCACACACTTTTCTTTCCTTCCCTCTTCAAATTTACCCCCAAATCAGCCCTTTTCCTTCCTCTTTACCCACATATCTGATTTCTTTATTCATTCTCAGGAGGAACAAGAGAGAACTAAACCATACTTGACCTACTTCCCTTGAAGGAAACAATAATGACAGGATGGCCCCTCAACCAGGATAGGGTTCACTAGCCCCCCCAGTCCTCTTCACTGTATCAAATAAGTCCTGGGGAGGGAAGAGGCCACTACAAAAAGCTACATGGCTCTGTCAGGGCCCCTCGCCTTAGGACTCTAAGGACCTTAGTTGGCTAAAACTTCAAAGACCATTTGCTTTAAAAAGACTTTATTCAATCATTTTTCAGTCATGTCTGACTATTCATGACCCCAGTTGAGGTTCTCTTGGCAAAGACACTGGACTGCTCCTCCAGTTCCTCCTCCAGTTCATTTTACAGATAAGGAAACTGAGGCAAATAAGGTTAAGTGACTTACCCAGGGTCATATAGCTAGTAAGTGTCTAAGAACAGATTTGAATTTACAAAAATGAGTATTCATTACTCCAGGCATAGCACTCTATCTACTGCACCACCTAGCTGGTTCTTTAAAGAGATAACTTAGAAATTAGAAGGAGGCAGCAAGGTACACAGGGAAAGAGCACTGCCTCTGGAGTCAAAAGTCAGGTTCAAACCCTGCCTCTGAAGCTTACTACCTGTGTGACCTTAGGTAAGTCACTGTACTTTCCTGGGTCTTAGTCAATTCATTTCTAAAATGAAGGAGTGACACTAGAGGGCTTCTGAGGCTCCTTCCAGCTCTAGATCTAATAATAGCTGGCAGTGATAAAAGCACTTGAAAATCTGCAGAGTAGTTTACAAATATTATCTCTTTTTGTGCTCACAACCCTGGGAGGTAGGTGCTATTATTATCCATATTTTACAGATGAGGAAATTGAGGTAGACAAATGATAAAGATAAGCGACTTGTTTAAGGTCATATGGCTAGTAAGCACCTGAGGCCAGAGTGGAACTCCTGACTAAGCTCAGGGCTCTATCCACTGCACCACCTAGCAGCTATTTTATTCTTTTTTTTTTCTTTTTTGGTGAGGCAATCAGGGTTAAGTGACTTGCCCAGGGTCACACAGCTAGTAAGTGTCAAGGGTCTGAGGCCACATTTGAACTCAGGTACTCCTGACTCCAAGGCCAGAGCTGTATCCACTGCGCCACCTAGCTGCCCCTCAGCTATTTTATTCTTAAGGGACACAGAGAGCTTCCGTTGTTGGGGGATGGAGGGAGGCAGAGGTGCTTTCACTGAAAAAAGAACCTTCAATTGGCAGCATCCTGGACAGCGGAGGATCAGACACAGGGTTAGACAAGGCTTGCCAGGGGCTCAGGGAGCCAGAGCAGTGGTAACAGTTTTTATGTCAGAAGGGTAAGGGAAGGAAAGAACAGAGACAGGGTTCCAGGTTGGGGAGAAGCTCACAGGAATGTCTCTCAGTGCCTGGTTCTCAACCTTTGGCCGTCCTTTCTTCCTGCCCTCCATCTTGTCACTGGTAGAATTTCCTGTGAACAAAGTAGAGGCAAGGATTGTTGAATCTGGGAAGGGAGATGTTCTCTGCCCTCCCCCAACCCCCTCACCAAGAATTAGAAGTTTCTGCTCAAAATTGAAACAGGGCAATCACGTTCCTAGAAGGGCAGAGTTTATTCCCTTAACAATTTCTGTCCATTTTTCTCATAATGAAACTAATGCCTACTTGGATCTAAGGTTATCTCTTTATCTATGATATATGTATCTTAGATGTATCTATTTATATGTTTTCTCCTCCATCAGAATGCCCTTCTTGAGGGCAGGGACTGTTTTTGCCCTTTTTTTGTATCCTTGACATTTAGCATAGTGACTGGCACATAGTAAGTGCTTAATAAATACCAGGAGAAATATTGAAGGGGCTATGGGAAAACAAGTATATTAATACAGTATTGGTGGGGTTGTAAATTGGTCCACACATTCTGGAAAGCAATTTAGAACTGTGACCCAAACATCCCTAAACTGTGCCTACCCTCTTTGACTCAGCAATACCACTAGTAGACCAATATACCAAAGAGATCAAAGAAAGAGGAAAAAGAGCCATATAAACAGAAATATTTCTAGCAGTTCTCTTTGTAGCAGCAAAGAACTGGAAACTAAGGAGGTGCCCACCAAGTGGGAATGTCTGAACAAATTATGCTATGTGAATGAAATGTATTATTATGCCATAATAAATGATGACTCATAAGCTATTCCCCAGTAGATAAGTGGTCAAATGATATGAACAAAGTTCTCAAAAGAAGAATTTCAAACCATTAACAACCAAGTGAAAGAATGCTCTGATCACTAATAATAAAAGAAATGTAAATCAAAAAAACTCCCAAGTTTTACCTCATACTCTACAAAATGTCAAAGGTGAAAAAAAGATGGCAATAGTCAATGTTGGAGGGGCTGTGAGAAAATAGACACACTACTGCACTGTTGTTGGACTGTGAATCAGTTACCATTTTGCAAATCAATTTGAAATTAAAAAAAATAATAAAGTGAATAAAATGTCCATATCCTTTGGCCCAGAGATTCTACTAATAGGCTTATAACCCAAGGAAGTCTTTGACAAGAATTAAAATCCCCATAAACACCAAAATATTCATAGCAGCATCAGTTGGGGAATAGCTAAACAAATTGTGGTACATAGAATAACACTGTGCTTAACAACAAATATGATAAATATAGAGAAGCATAGAAAGACTTACATGAACTGATGCAGAGTGAAGTATGCAGAGGCAAGAAAACAATATACACAATGACTACAGCAACATAAATGGAAAGAACGACAACTGCCAAACAATCAAAAGTGAATGTTGCAAAATTACAAAGAATAAGCATAACCCCAAAGAAGAGATGAGAAGTCACCCCTCCCAGATACTTCTTTGAAGAGGAAGGACAGGTGTGGGACATTTCAGAGTTTCTCAATATATTAATCAGTTTTGCTGATTTTTTCCTTCTTCCTCTTTTTTTTCTTAAAAAAATAACCTGGCTAAAGATACTGGATGAAATTATGATGAAGTAAAAACAAAAGATCAATAAAATATATTTTAATAAAAGAAATAATGAAAGGTACAGAAGCAGTGAAATTTGGGAAGACTCATATAAACTGATACAGAGTGAAGCAAGCAGAGCCAGGAGAATAATTTATACAATAATAATATTGTGAAAACAAATAATTTTGAAACACTGAAGACCTCTGATCAACAAAACAATCAACAATGATTCCAGAGGATGGATGATGAAACATGCTACCCTCTCCTGACAGAGAGGTGAGAGACTCATTATATAGAATGAGATATATTTTTTGGACATGGCCAATATGGGAATTTGTTTTACTCGATTATGCATATTTGTTACAAGAGTTCCTTTCTTTTTTATTATTAATATGGAGGAGGATTAGGAAGGAGAGAAAATAGATTTTTGTTAACTGTACAGCATCTAATTTTAAAAAATGCTTTTTTGGTTAACTGATAGTATATTAGAGGTAGGGAGAACAGCCAGGACAGATCCACATTATCCCATGGTCAAGCTAGTTACTGACATTTCTCCATTATCCATGCTCCTGATAGAGAACTGGCTATATATATGCACGTATATGTATATATGTATGCATATATTTACGTATATGTGTGTGTGTGTGTGTGTGTGTGTGTGTGTGTGTGTATATATGTATATGATAACTTTACATATAAAGCTAATTTGTACTTGGGTCCAAAAGAGTTGTTTTGTCCTTTTTTTTGGGTGGGGGGAGGCTGATTTTCACTTCTGATTAGGTTTTACTTGTTCTCTGATCTCACTCACACAAGTCAGAACTTGCCAGTGGACAATACACAGAGGTAAATCTACACCTCAATTGTCTGAACATTAAACAAAACCTCTCGAGTCAGACTCCTAGGCCTTCAGTGGAGGTTCCAGGACACTGCAGAAGCCTAACTTGGCTCCAGCAAACTGCACACCTAGCTCTTCCTGAGGAATGGGTACAGAAGTCTGTCAATGGTAAAAGTATTCTTACCAAGTTTAGGAGGCTCGTGAGGGGCAGGGAGCTGGCTTTCTATCCTCTCTCCATCCTTCCCCAAACCACCCTTACTTGGTCCTGCAAGCCTTCGGCTTCCTCCGTATGGGTCACCCATCTCTGCAAGCCAAGTACAGATGGGTAAGTAAGCAGGGAGAAAATGCACCAAGCCTATAGGGAAAGATGCAAGGGGTGGGGCAGTGGAAGGCAGGTGAACAGGGAATAGGAACACTAGGGGGTGGGGGAGGGCAGGACTGGGGAGACCTTAAGCACCAGGGAGAGGAGATGGGAGGGAGCAGGTTTAGCAGAATTTACTACAGTAGGTATCCTACCTTAAACAAACTTTATATATATTGTACAAATGTAGCTTTTAAATACTTTATCAACTCATCATTTGCTTCATAAGTGAGATTTACCATAGGATTTCTTTGATTAATGAACTCTTTCACATATAGGCTTATATATGCTATAGCAAGGCTCACATGCTGCACCCCACACCCTCCGCCTCCCTCCCCTCCCCCCCCAAGTCAGCTTCACTTCTAAGCATGGCCAAGAATTCTTTATTTTCTATTTATAACAAATGGTTCTAAAGAAAAAACTTTCCCTTAGGACTCCCTAGTCACATTTGGGGTGGAGGGGATAACAAGATACACCTCTGACTCTGTATCTTATACTCTCCTACCACCCATCTGATCAGCTCTAGCCTTAATGACTGGAAGTATCTATTGACTAGTGTTGACATGGGCACAAAGATATCAAATACTGGGGCAAAGGAAATCATCTGCTGAGTTTCCCACTCTGGAGTGGAACAAGAGAAGGAGAACCCAATTGAGGGCTCCTGACATGAACAGTGACAACTAATGGTGAGGTGATCCTTTTTCATCTGTTCATCTAGATGCAGGGATGGGGAACCTTCGTCCTCGAGGCCACATGTGGCCCTCTAGGTCCTCAAGTGTGGCCTTCTGACTGAATCCAAACTTCATTCACTGAATTCCAAACTCTAAATAAAAGGATTTGTTCTGTGAAGTCTGGACTCAGTCAAAAGGCCTCACTCGAAGACCAAGAGAGCCACACGTGGCCTTAAGACCAAAGGCTCCCCACCCCTGAAGAGTAAAGCCTGGCATTCTCCACAGTGCTGAGCTCTCAAGAATGGTGTCTGCCCTCTGGGTTTCATCACCCGATTTAGGGCTCAGGCAATGGTTAATGCTGAAACAAACTTCCTGAGCAGGCACATAAGACCCGGGTAAGGAGACCAAGAGAACAGCCTTCTCTCCCCAGGCAAATTAAGAAACCTTGATAAGGGGCTCTATGGAAAATACTCTCTGAGCCCTAGGTAGCAGGAATAGGAAACAAGAAGGAAACATACTACGTATGCCAATCCAAAGACCTCCATTAGCCAGGATCCCCATGGAAACCCTTCTATAAGCTGATCAGTTTGAACGTCCCCTATACATTCCTTCCTGCCCCAGATGCTGAGCTAGGACTATCTTCTTACAGAATCCCAAATGCTGTAAGCATCTCAAAAACCATCTAGTGCAACCACACCTGAATAAGAATTCCTTCCACACCATGCCCAAATCAGAAACCATCCATTCCCAAGGCAGTTTATTCTATTTTTGGATAGCTATAATTTTTAGGAAGTCATCTCTCGTATCAAACCTCAACTTCCCTCTTTGAAACTTCCAGACACTGTTCCTAGTTCTGTCCTATGGGGCTAAGCATTTTGTGTTTCCCCATCAAAAATTAAAATCACAGAGAAGAACTGGAGAAAGAAAGATGATCAAGGAATTTCACTATCTGGCCATGGAGCAGAGCCAAGCTAAGTTGGGGTTTAAAGACCAAATATGTAATTGTCAGATCTAGGAGGGCAGGAGAAACCAAAGGTGAAGGCAAGAGTTGAGGTCTCCTATAAACTGGCTCACTGAAGCATCAAAGAGTATGCCCAATAAAGCAACCAGAACTTAAGTGCATACATTCTAGGTACTGTGCTGGGAGCTGCAGATAAAAAGACAAAAATAAAACAGACTTTACCCTCAAGGGTTCATATTCTGTCAGGAAAGAAGGGTACACACCTAAGTAGATACAAAAGAAATACAAGGTAATTGATAGGGGAAGGGAGAAGAAAGGCACTGGTAGCAAGGGGGATAAGGAAAGACTTCATATAAGAGTTGGTATCTGAACTGAACTTTGAAGGAAACTAGGGATTCTAAGATTTAGAGGTGAGGAGGGAGGGAATTCCAGACACAAAGGTCAACCAGTATAGTGGCACAGAGTTGGGAGATGAAGATCATGTATGAGGAAAAGTAAGAGGCCACTCTGATGGAGATTACATGAAGGGAAGTACTATATAAAAAAGCTAAACAGGTAGAACAGGGTTAGACTGTGTTTTCTCTCTTCCTCTCTCACAAAAATGCTATTTACTCATTTATTAACAAATATTTATAAAGTGCCTACCATGAATCAGGCACTATGGTAGGTGCTGAGACTAGAGACTGGATCTGTGATTTCATTCATATAGAATCACACACACACACACACACACACACACACACACACACACACACACATAGTTCTACGTAAGAAGCTCCTAACCATGCAGGCTGATACCTTCTCTAAAACTTTAAACTTAGAGAGGTGCCCACGGCCACATATCCAATATATGTCAGAGACAGGACTTAAACTCAGTCTTCCTGGCTTTTAGGTCAACTCTATCCACTATGGAATGCTGTCAGGTGCTAAGAATTAAAAAAGAGTCCCTGCCCTCAAGGAGCGTATATTCTATCAGGGCAAACAACATAAATATAGGTAAATACAATATATATGCAGACAGTTCTCTCTTGACATAAATGGACCATTCCACAAACTTCTACAGAAAACAAATCAAATTTGCCTGGAGATATGGAGAAGGGAAGGGGAGGAGACAAGAAGGCAGCAGGCACACAATTCAAGGACACACAGGGAGCCAAGGACAGAGAGTCAAGAACAGAAGGAACAGAGGTGAGACCCTGACTTGAATGAGAGACAGAACAGAGCAAAAAGGAGCCTGAGGCAGAAGAAAGGGTGCCCCCATCAGAACAGGGAAAAGTTCTCCTCTCTCTTACCACACTGGAGGTCTCAAGTCAAGCCCCCATCCTGTCCGTTCACCAGTCTCTCCACACATTATTTCTTTTGCTTTCACTTGAAGGGTTTGGGGTTTTTTTTTTTAATGATTTTTGGTAGTTTTTAATGGGGTTTTTTTGGATGGGAGAGTGGGAGGCTGAGCACCAAGTGGAGGGGCAAGAGGAGAGAGAGAGAGGGAGAAATGGAGTGGGAGTGGGGAGAGGGAGAAAGAGGGAGAAAAGGAGAGAGAAAGAAAAAGAGAGACAGAGACAGAGACAGAGACAGAGACTACCAAGTAAATACAAAGTAATTTCATGGGAGAGGGAAGCCACTAACTGAGAAGCTCCAGAAAACTCTCAGACAGGAGGTGGTACTCAAGCTCAGCAGAAAAGGGAATTAAGGATTCTTTGAGGCAGGACTGAGGAGGCAGTGCATTCCCTGCCTATGCATGGGAGATCAAATGGGAATTTTTTGTTTGTTTGTTTGTTTTTGCTAGGCAATGGGGTTAATTGACTTGCCCAGGGTCACACAGCTAGTAAGTGTTATGTGTCTGAGGCCATATTTGAACTCAGGTCCTCCTGAATCCAGGGCCAGTGCTCTATCCACTGCGCCACCTACCTGCCACCTACCTGCCCCCTGGGAGATCAAATGTTAAGTGTGAGAAACAAGAAGAAAGATAGTTTGGCTGGACCACAGACTGCCTAAAGGGAAGTGATGTAGCCTAGCCTAGAAAGGTAGATGTGAAAAGTTTTAAATGCCAAACAGAAGTTTGTATTGCTCAGAAAAGCCCTGTGGCCAATGGCTGGTGAATTCCTACACCTGTCTTGGGGAGGTATTTCAAGCACTTCAAACTGAGGAAGAATATTCCCAGACGACAGATAACTGCTTCTCTGACAAGTTCTTTCCTCTCCTTTCTCTACTATCTGGCTCCTTGTCTATCTGGTTGCCTAGAAACGTCGATAGATAGACAGATAGATAGATAGATATATGATAGACAGATAGATAGACAGAAATAGATACACACACATACATGTCTATATCTAGATATCTCATCATCCTACCATCCCCTCAAGCTATCTTTTTATATCCTTCTTTCCTTTCCCAGACAAACTCCTGGGGGGAAAAAAGCTGCCTAAATTACCTCCATTTTTTCATCTTTTACTCATAGTTTTCAGCTCCTTACAACATAGCTTCTGATGCCAACACTTGGCTGAAACTTTTCTCTTCAATGGTCTCTTTATTGTTAAACCTAATGGCATCTTCTCAGTTTTCATTCTCCTTCACCTCCCTTCAACATTCAACACTGCAGGCCAACCCTTCCTCCTATATAAGCTCTTCTTCCTTGATTTTCAGGACACTGCTTTCTCCTATTTATTTTCCTCTGTCTGGTCATTGCTACATAGTTTCTTCTGCAAAATCCCCATCATTGTCTCACCTCCTTTGTAGGGGTGCAGCCCAGGGCTCTAAAATGGGCCTTCTTCTCTTATGCTGGTACTCTTTCCCCCTTTTAATTATCATCTCTATGTAGATGACTTCCAAATGTACACATTCAGCCTTCATCTCTCTTTAAGATCCAGTCTCATATCTCCAACTGCCTACTGGACATAAGCATCTCAAAATCAAAAATGTTGACAACAGAACTCATTGTCTTTCCCCTTAAACCCACCTTTCTTCCTAACAGATATTTCTGTCAAAGAAGTTCTATTCACCCAGGTCTGGAACCTCAGAATCATGCCCAATTTTTAACTCTCTCTCATTCCCCATCCCTACTTGTTTGGCAGTACCTTCAAATATATGTCTATGACATTTCTAACACCTTCTTCTTTCTACCCATTCACAAACCCACTACTCTATCCCAGGCCCTCATCACCTCAGGCCAGTACTACTTCACAACCTTCCTTATTGGTCCCCCTGCACAAAGCCTCTCCCCGCTCCAGTCTACCCTCTAAACAGCTGCCAAATAGATATTCTAAAGTCAACTTTTTGGTTCTCTGTCTCTTTATACTCTTAAAAATTATTGAGGATCCTCCCCCACCATAGGGCTTTTATGTGTTATAGCTATTAATATTTATCCTATTAGAAATTAAAACATCTTAGTATTATTATGAAAAGAGTTTTGACCACAAAGACCTCCCCCTACAAGGGGTCTTGGAGATTCCCAAGGGGCCCTCAGACCACACTGATAACTGCTGTTCAAAGCATTGGTCTGATCATATCACCCCTCTGCTGAAGAATCTTCAGTTGCTCCCAGATGCCTTTAAAATAAAATATACACTTATATGTTTGGTATTTAAAGCCCTTCCCAGTTTAGTTCTAACCAATCTTCCCAGGCTAGTCACATATGTTTCTTCATTATGCCTTCTTTGTTCCAGCCAACCTGACCTATTTGATGTTCTCCACATAGGACCTCCTATCTCCTGCCTCTTAGAAGACTCCCCAAGCTAAGAAAACTCTCCCTTCTCGCTCCTTCTCTTCTTGGTATCCTGAGGTTCTTTCAAAGCTCTGCTCAAGGGCCACCTCCTACAAGAGGCACTTCCTGTTTCCTCCAGTTATTACTATGCCCCAAAGTAATCTGTATTGATTTATGTGCATGTTAAATCCCCCCAGAAGAGAGCAGACTTCTTAAGGGCAAGAGACTTTTGTTTTAGTCATTCTATTTCCCCCGTGCCCCAGCAACATAGCTGGCAAACAGCAGGCATTTAATAAATATTGAATTGAAACTAGTCTAAACGCTGAATGCTGAATCAGTTATTATTTGATATACTAAGCACCTAAACTTCTGAGTACATATGTCCCCTTCCCTAACCTTGGGAAGCAACTTTCCTTTCAGCTGGGTCAGATTTACTCAATTCTCCCAAAACATTATGGGATAGGTAGGTCAGGAGTTCTTAACCTTTTTTGTGTCATGGAAACCTAGTAAAGCCTATAGACTCCTCAGAATAATATTTTTAAGCATATCAAATTAAATACATTGAATTACAAAGGAAACCAATTCTACTGAAACATAGTTATCAATGTATGTGCATAAATAAAAATTTTAATTAATTTTTTAAATAAATAAGTAATTAGATTAACAGACCCCAGGATAAGAACTCCTGAACCAGATGATCTCCAACGTCTCTTCCAACTCCGACATCCATAACGTTATCCAATTTATGTCTCACATCTCTTTTCTTAAATTTATCTACCTTATACTTTGGCAGTTTAATTTGCACCCAGAAAAACGTTTCTCACCATACATTCCTCAAAGCTATTAGACCTGTTCCCTTCTCCCAGCTCAGCCTCTTTCCTCCCTTCCCCAAAGGACCCAGCCCAAGTAAGAATATAACAAAGGAATAAAGAAACAAAGTAATTACCTAGGACAAACCCAGGAAGAGCTTTTGTCTTTGGAGAACCAATCTTTTTCACTCTGCAAATCTACAGGTACAGACAGTACTACATGAAGATGGAGCACCAGGCTAGTTATTACATTTATTCATTTACCTATCCCCTTCTTCAAGGCCCAAATTTTTAGAGAGTCTCCATTCTCTCTAAATGACTTCTCAGATATTAGGGACAAATTTACTGAGTTTCCCTCTCTCCTGTTGACCTCTCTGAAGATTACTACTTTATGTCAGCTTACTACTGAGTTAACCTCTAGAAAGAGGCTCAGGCCAAAGCCAGGTATGGGTGATTATAATTTTTACTGCAGACTTCAAAGACAGAAGCTTAAAGGGAAATGTATATGTGTTTGTGTACTGAGAGGGAGATGATCCCATCTACTTCCCAGGTCAAGAGGCCAAGCTTCAGATCTGTACTCCATGCTCTGTCAAGGGGGCAGAAAAGGAAGAGAAACCCGCTAAAGAAAGTTACCAATGGCAGGGTAATTCAATAATCCCTGCCACTTTTTTTTTCCTCTCTATCTCTCACCACCACCACCCACCAACATGAATCAACTCAGAAGGCACTGGTGGTATCACAAAAAGTGCACTGGACTTGAAGAGGTCTGGATTCAAATCCTGCGTCTGACACATACTAGCCAAATGACCCGACAGACTAAAACTCTCAAGGCCTCAGCTTCTTTTTCTGTAAAATGGGAATAACTGGAGTACCTACTTCACAGGGTGAGGATCAGATGAGATTAATATACATAAAGTATTCCACAAACCATAAAACTATATAAGCATAAGCTATCATTATTATAAACTGGGTAGGAGCTCTACTTTGGATTGGCTTAGGAAGGCCAACAACCTGAGCTCAGGACTGGTGAAGACCAAGGAATTCAGGGTTAGACACAGGAAGACTGCACGACTCTACATTCACCCACTTCATTAGGGTAGAGAAAAATCTCTGCCCCTTTGCTTCTCTCCTTCAAAAGCCCATTTCCCAGGGAATTGGGAAAAGAGGGACATTTGCATCCAAAGAAAAAAATCCCATCAAAAGTCACAACAAATATATCCTCTTAATAAAAAAAAAACGCACAACCCAGGAAACTCACATAACCAAACAAAGGCAGAGCAACCCAGAACACCATTTCATGGAAACAAACCAAGAGCAGGAAGTTTTTAATTCAGTCCTAGGGTCACAGCAAAGAGAAATGGCTCAAGAAAGCCTGAAGGGGGGGAAAAAAAAAAGACAGCCAGCCACAGATAGATTGGGGAGAATCTGGAGACACCTACATCTGAGGAGGCAGGGCTGACTGAGTTGAGGGGGTGGGGGGGTGGAGGGAGATGGGCCATCGGGAATAGGCAAAGTTGGGGCTGGGGGTGGGGTAGGAAGAAGAGGCAGGACTGGGGTAGTGTGTAGGTAAGCGATTGGCCAACTCCAGCAAAGAGGGTCAATGTCTTCAGACATTCATGGCCATCAAAACCCCCAGGAAGGTACCAGCAGGACCTCCCGATCCTCCCCTTCTTCTCCTATTTAGCCCTGGTCCGATTTCAATTTTCCAACCGAGTGCACGGCGGCCTCCCAACCCCAACCCTGCTGGGGGCCATAGTGAACAGGTCCCACACCCACCTGTCACCTGCCTGACCCTCCCCCTCCGCCCTGTGAGTGGCCCTGCTAAGACTGGAGGAGAAGCAGCCAGGAAGGTGGTGGAAGTGGGGGTGCACGAGGGGGCCGGATCGTCTTCACCAATAAGCCCCCCACCCATGCCCCGCGCCCCTCACCCCGCCCCGGCCCGGCCTGTCCCGTCCAGTCCGGTCCTGTTCCGGGCGGGCGGCGAGCCGGAAGGGGCCGGATTACAGGGAGGCCGGGCCGGGCAGACCGGGCCGAGCCGGAGGGGGAGGGGGGACAGCGCCAAACTCGGGGGGGGGGCGCAAAGCAAGCCGAAGGCAGCGAAGCAAAATGGCGACTTTTTCTGTAGGAGGAGAAGGAAGGAAAACAGCGCGAAGGCGCGGGAGGCCGAGCGAGCGGCCGCACCCCCGGCCCGGGGGGTCTGCAGCGCCCCCGGCCCCCCTGGCCCCAGGCGGCCCCGCCCCCCGGCCTCTGCTGGCTCCGGGGCCTGGGGGCGAGGGGCGCTGGGCCCGGGCGGGGCGCGGAGGGCTGCCCGGAGGGGAGACCCCGGGGGGGCTGGGGCCGGGGCCAGGGCCGGGGGCGGGCGGGCAGGCAGGCGGGCGCGCTTACCTCCGGCCCGGCTCGGCTGGGCTCGGCGCGGCGCGGCGCGGCGCGGCTCGGCACGGCTCCCCCGGGCCGGCGCAGGCTGCGCGCCGCGCTGGGCTCATGCGCGCTCCCTCCCCCTCCTACCTTTGACAGTTTTACAGTCCGGGGGGGGGGTGGGGCGGGGGGACGGGGGAAGCAACTTGCAACTCTCGCGTTATTCTTGCAGCCCCGCACAGTCTCCCAGGGAAATGGGGATAGACTACGGGGCTGGGGGAGGCCTCAGCCCGAGGCTACTGTTTCCCCCCCAGCTGTGGAGCGCACGCGGAGTCCCCGGTATGGGCTCCGGGAACTCCAGGGTCCGTCCTTCTTGGCCTGGCCGAGGAGGCCAGCTTATGCCCCCATCCCCCCACCAGTCAAGCGGAGATGGATACCCCCTGGGTGAATGGGGGAATGCAGTTGCTCCCCTTAAACCTTCCCGAAGGGTGGGGATGGGGTGGCCTGGTGTTAGAGAGTGGACAGGCCAGCACCAGCCGGAGCTCCCTTCTTGCGTCCGGAGCTGGGTGTCAGCAAAACCTCTCAAACTCCGAGCCTAGGTCGAAGGGCAGATCGCTGTCCAGGTGGGGGCAGTTTGAGGTCACTGGGGTAACAGCAATGCTAGGGGTCCGGGGTCAATTGCCTCAGGCCCCGCTGGGCTCAGGATTGTGAAAGCCGTAGGCAGGAGCTGATAGAAAAGGACTCAGGCATTTGGGCTTCCAGTCCCACGGTGTTGATCCCCCCCAAAAAAATTCTGCAGAGGAAAGGGGGGAGAACTTATTTGGGGGAAGAGTGTCTACTAGAAAGAAGCATCACCGTTTGACACTCAATTTCCTCCTTGATTGGCCATCTCAGCCTTTTTATCCTCGGATCATAGATCTGGAGCAAGAAGGCATCTCCAAAGCCATCTAGTCCAATTCCACTTCATAGAGAAGGAAGCAGGCCCAGGGAATTTAAGGGACTTGTTCCAGGCCACACAGATGAAGTCATAGGCAGCATTTGAAAACAGAGACATAGTTGAGAGATGGTATAGAGAAAGATATGGTTTGGCAACAATGGATGTGCCGTCTGAGTGAGAGTGAGACATCAAGGATAACGTTGAGGTTACAAATATGGGTATCTGGGAAGATGGTGGTACCTTCAGCAGAGTTAGGGAAGTTTGGAAAAAGAGTAAGGTACATGGGGGTCTAGAAGAGTTCTATTTTGGATGTTGCATTTAAGATGTTTATGGGGCTTCCAGTTGGAAATATCTGATAGGCATTTGGTGATTTGTGAATAGAGCTCTCTAGAGAGAGGGGGCCTAGGTTTGAGAGTTGTCAGCATAGAGATAATCATTAAACCCATGTAAGCTGATGAGATCACCAAGAGTATAGAAAGAGAAAAGGAAAGGGCCCAAGACGGTCTTGGGATATATTCGAAGGTTAGTAGGGGGGTTATGGATGATTATCCAGAAAAGGAGACTGAGAGGGGTGAAAGAATTTGGAGGAGGAAATCACCTATGTCAGATGCTACAAAGAGGTTATAAAGGATGAAGACTGAAAAGAGATCATTAGAGTGAGAAATAAAGGATCATTGGTAACTTTGGACAGCTCAGTTTCAGCTGAATGATGAAGTAGTGTGACAGACTGTAAAAGTGTTGAAATGAGAATAAAAGGAGAAGGAAATGGAGGCATTAAGTGTAGATAGTTTTTTTCTTGGGAATTTGGCTTAGAAAGGGAGAAATATATGATGATCTCATCAGATCCTCATAAACTCCGCTGTGAAGTCAACAAGGCAAGAATTATCCCCATTTTACATATGAGAAAAATGAAGTCCAGAGAAAATGAGTGACTTGCTCATAGTCATAAAGTCAATTGATTTCAGAAGCAGGACTATATTTGTGCTCCCAATTTGGTGTTTTTTCTATTGCATTACTGTATACAAGACTCCCTTCTCTGGGAGCAAACACTGTTTCTACCCACACCACAGACTACAGATATAACTAAAGTTAGCTTCTTGGAGCTTTGCTCCCAACTTGAACAATGGAGGGATTGGAGTGCAGCAGGCTTCCTCAGAGTGTGACAGGGCCATCCCAACTGACACATCAACAATGCTGTTGTTTCTGTCCCGGGGAGCTGTCTCCCTTTGGGCTACTGTACTCATCTCCTGCTGCCTCCTACTTTCTGCTTGTCCTCCCTTCCCATACTCTCCCTTGTGGGATAGAGTGGAGAGGATGGTGTCAGGTCTCTGGTCTGACTGTTAAGGAGACAGCCGTCTCTTTTCTCAGTTCAACTATACTCCACAGAGTCAACAACCTTAGTTATCCACCAAACATGCTTCATGAATAGAATATTGACATTCCCCTAATTTCTTATAAAAAATAAGGGGAAATGTCTATGTCTCTACTTCTTGTTCCCTTGGGCCCTGTGTCCCTAGGTCTCTTCCTCTCAACTGAATTTGCCTTAGGATATTGTGTTTAGGGAAGGAAAGTGGATGCCCAAATATCTCCCAGGAAAGAAATACGCCATGTAGTTAGTCAACAAGCATTTATTGAGTGCTTACTATGTGCCAGGCATCATGCTAAACAATGATGGAGATACTAAGAAAAGTAACAATAGTCCCTACCCTCAAGGAGCTTACATTCCAATGGGAGAGACAATGTAAATAAATGGTTTCATACGACATATATGCAGAGTACCTGAAAGGCTATCTGAGAGAGAGAGTACAGCAGCAGCAGCAGCTAGGGAGAGGAGGGAGGGGAGAAATGGAGAAAGGCCAGCTACAGAAGATATGTTTTGATCTGAGTTTTAAAGGAAACTAGGGAAAATAAAAGGTGCAAGTGAAAGGGCAGAGCATTCTAACAATGGAAAACAACCAGTGCAAACATATTGAGATGGAAGATAGACTGTTGTATGCATGGAGAAACAAGTAGGCCAGTTAGATCAGTGCCCTGCACTTGTTTGAGGAGTGAGGAAGAGTTGTTGAGCTTAGGAGAGAGGAGAGATAAGATCTCCTGAATCTTTTCAAGGATTCTGGTTTCCAGCTTTGAGAGAGATGATCCTCAATAGCAACCATTCTTCAGATTGCTAAAGGGAAAGAAAGGCTCTGGAAAAAAGCTGACATGAGAGGAGCTGGCTGTCTATCCATGGATTGCTTCACTTGAGATTTCAGGGGAATTTCCCTTTAGGTGAGATCTGTGACTTTGCTCTTGGTTGAGCTGATTTACCTCACACCTAGTGGGAAAGCTCCCTTGTTCTATATTGTCTCATATGTATGCTTTCTTTCATTTCTGTTTTACTGTCAACTTAGATAAATAGGTTTCCCTACTATTTTCTGTGTTTATACTCATTGTAGAACTGGTATTTGGAGTGAAGGGGGTTAAGCCTTGTATATAAAGCTTGGAGGCTCCTTTCCCCATTAATGAATAGCAATCAGGAGTTTAGCTTAAAGTTACTTCCCTTAAACTAACAATATTTAAGGGAGCAGATATATGTAATTCTAGACCAGTATCTTCTCTCTCTGAGGGCAAAAAGGCCAGGCTCTGGCCTCAACCTCCTGCTTCCCCTCCTGCCAGGAATTAAAGTCTCCCTTGGAGAAGAGTGGAGAAGGAGATGATAGAAATGTCTATTCTTGCCTCTCTGCAAACGTGATTGAAACAGCCACACATTACAATAATATGAAGAGCTTTAAGAGCAAATGGTAATTTAATAGGAATTACATCTGTGATCTCATTAGTATAGGGAATTCCCAGGTGAGGAAATGCCCTCTACCAGTACAGGTCAGCACCTTCTCTTTTATAGCCTTAGAGAGTTGCCCAGAGCGCTAAAAGGATAAGTGATTTACTTGCCCAGGATCACACAAGCCCCTGTCAGACCCAAGATTTGAAACCAGGTTTTATGAATTTCAAGGCCAGCTTGTTATTCATTACAGTCCTCTACCTCTTTATGTTCTAGTTAATGTTGACATATATTCTGTGAATTCCCTCCAGCTGGCTCACAGTGACAGCTAGGCTTGATGGGAACAAAAGTTGCTTTCAATGAGCTCACATGAACTGTGCAGGGAAAAGAAACCACGCCGGGATTTTAAATGGGCACTCATAAACCACATCCAGATAATTGAGAATTGACCATAATGTGACCTTTAGGTGATCTCTAAAGATCTCTTCTAGCTCTAACTTCTATGACTTGGAGTCATGGCTAGATTACAACATTAAATTCAATTCTGGATTGTCTGGAGGTGGTTTATGGGGGCCCATTTTAAAATCTTAGCATGACATTGAATGAAAAATATTAATATCGTTCTCTGTACTTTAGGTACATCTTCCAGAAACATTATTTAAAACTCAAAACATTATTTAACAATTCAACATTATTATCATTCTTATTATCTTTAACATTATTCTTCACAATGTCTCTTTATATATATCCCCTTCTATCCTCTGACACAGCCATTGTCTCAGGGAAGCTCCACCACACTCAGGCCTGGACTATTGCATTAGCGTTCTGTTTGGTCTCCCTAGCTCAAGTGTCTCCCTACACAGCCTCCTCTCAGCTGCCAAAATGATCTCCCTAAAGTGTAGGTCACTTCCCTACTCAATAAACTCCCTATTTCTTTCAAGCTCCCTCTTTCTTTCAAGATTAAATGTCAAGGGGCAGCTAGGTGGTGCGGTGGATAGAGCACCGGCCCTGAAGTCAGGAGGACCTGAGTTCAAATTCGGCCTCAGAACCATAATATTTCCTAGCTGTATGACTCTGGGCAAGTCACTTAACCCCAACTGCCTTACAAAAAAAAAAAGAAGATTAAATGTCAAATCCTCTGTTTGGCTTTTAAAGCCCTTCATTAACTGACCCCTTCCTGCCTTTCTAGTCTTCTTAGACTTTACTCCCTGTAACATACTCTACCACTCAATCCAACAACTGGTCTCGCTATTCTTCAAACATGACACTCCATTTCCCAAAACAGTGCCTTTTCACAGGTGGTCCTCCTTGCCTAGAATTCTTCTCCTCCTGGATTCTTTGGCTTCCTTCATCTTCTGCAAGAAGACTTTCCTGGTAGC